TTGTTGTGTTTTATCTTCTTATTATTACTTTTTTGTTTTAATTGATCCTGCCTGTTATGCAGTTTGGTCAGCTCTCACGCTGTGCTATAGAAATAAAGTTGGTATGGTATGGTATGGTATGGTAGGGTATGGTCTGCAGAAAGGCAAAGCTGAGCATCAGCATAACATACCTAATATCACCTACACCCATCCTGTTTTTCTGTCTTGCTTCACTCATTACAAAGGTGATCAACAGTACAAATGAAAGGTCAAGCAAGAGGTCTCACACATTATAAATGTGGGTCAAAAGTGAGTCCTTGTTGATTTCCTTCTTGCTTGTGGTTGCCTCTTCATCTGAAAGAGCCAAGATGTAAGCAGGACTTTCCACAAGGGCTTCAACTTGTGTTTTAACGTGGAAGACACACTTTTAGCAGATCCTTATGAGACCTCACCTGGAGTCGGTCATACATGCTTTTATTATGTCAAGACTAGGTTACAGTAATTTCACTCTGCTTGCTGTAAACAAGTCTGCAGTTGACCGTTCAGAAGGCGACAGCTAGATTTCTCACTAATTCAAACAGACATTCTCACATTACATCCATAACCTGGCACCCTCACATCTCATAGAGCTTATCACCCTAAAAACCATCTTGTGCACTCAGATAAGCTGACCACCTACTTCTGGATGCCCTGTTACAAGGCATGCGGTGAATAAGCTTTTGGTTATGCCGGCCCAACGCTTAGGAATGACCTCCCCCTAGTGGTGAGACAGTCCACCTCACTTCAACTTTTAAGTCCCATCTTAAGACACATTTTTATAGTCTAGCTTTTGGAGGTTGTTAGTGGCTAACTCAGGCATCTTAGTTCTGCCTTCGTTAGATCACTTTGTTTGACGTCTGGGATTATTCTGTGTGTTTTTAAATCTCTCACTTCTATTCTACCGGTACTGTTTGGTTTGTTTAAAGTGTTTGACTGCTTTTTACAGTTTTAATTATATCTTTGTTCTGTACTTTATGTGCTCTTTGTGCAGCACTTATGTCCGCTGACGTGCTATCTTATAAGTAAGCTTGACTTGACTCATCTCTATAGCACTTTCTGCACAACTCTGTCGAACAAAGTTAAAATAAAAAGCATAGAAAAACACCAAAAATGCACCAACAATAAGACACACCACAACTTAAAATAAACTTGTATAAAACATTGAAAAACATACAAAAAAAACACGTTACAACCTAAAACAAAAATGAGTATGTAAGTGGTTAACGAGTGGATGTCCTGGAATCAAGTCGTGTTTCATGCAAGCGAGTTGAGAAGAGTTTAAAAAGCCCTGAGCGGGGTGGCCTGCCTAACATGGACAGCCAGCTGATTCCACAGGCTAGGAGCAGCTACAACAGCTCATTTTAGTCATCTTAACCTGTGTGTTCCTCAGGGACCTGGCAGCGAGGAACTGTCTGGTGGGAGACAACAACGTTTTAAAGATCAGTGACTTTGGTATGAGTCGGCAAGAAGATGACGGCGTTTATTCTTCATCTGGGCTCAAACAGATCCCCATTAAATGGACTGCACCTGAGGCTCTGAACTATGGTAACCCTTGCCCCTCCCTTACTTAATCATTCACCTGTCATGAATCTTAAACTATCCCACACCTGTCTTTCATCAGTCACACAACCTTTGAGTTTTTTACTGTAATGATGAACAGGTTTTGAATTTGACGTGGCCGTCTATTGTGTCTTCTGCTCTCTGATGGTCTGCCAAAGGTCGTTACAGCTCAGAGAGCGATGTTTGGAGTTATGGTGTCCTGCTATGGGAGACCTTCAGTTTGGGGGTGTGTCCTTATCCAGGGATGACCAATCAACAGGCCAGAGAACAGGTGGAGAAAGGTAAACATGAGTCTTAAGAGTTTGTGTAAATTGTAGAGGTGATGGTGACCACGGTGTAAAGCACATTGAATTCCCTTTGTGTAGGAAAGGTGCTATATAAATGAAGCCGTCTTGTCTTGTCATGGGAATGTTTTCAGGTTACAGAATGACATGTCCTCAGCGTTGTCCTGATGAGGTGTACAAAGTGATGCAACGCTGCTGGCAGTACAACCCAGAGGAACGGCCCAAATTTTTAGAGCTTCAGCGAGATCTCTCTGCCATCAAGAAGAAATGAAAGCTCATCACTCCTTCTACTGCCTCACTTCCAGTCTGTTTGGATTGGGTAGAGATTAAATCAGAAATACAGCAAGTGGTGTCACACGTGGAGTCATTTTTTCCATCACACCTGCTGCAGCTTCGGGTCAGGTGACGCACAAGTGTGAAAGTGGATGCTAGTGGATGCTAAACTGGAAGGCACCAAAGGCTGCAAACACTACATTTGTAAAAAATTAAACACTAGTGATACACAGAAAAAATGGAACTGGTCAACAAAAGCTGCTTTTTATTATTTTTTAACTTTTTTTCTGTTGGTTCACACAAATGTTTGGATGTGGTCAAATGCGCAGATTACATGAAGCCTTGCCGCTTGGGCTCTGTTTTCACCGAGGGCCACAAAGCTTTTTGATGTTTATTTTATGTTTCGTGGTCTTCTACGTTAATTTATTTTTGAAAATTGTTTGACTTGAAAATGTTGTCCAGCAGCTGTCAGTCAAATCAGACCACACCCATTTCGTGGTAGTTATTCGTGACTAATAAAGTTCTGTTTGAACCAAGTCCTTCTTAGTGATCTTAACCTTTTAAATTTATTCCATGGTTTTCATGGTAAATAATTTCTATAATTACTATGCAAGTCTCAGTGTGATTCTTAACTGGTCAAAAGAATTTCCTGGACTGGGAGGGGGCGGGGCCTAACAGTACATATCTGCGATAGCTCCACCTACTGACGGTTTATGTATATAAAAGTTTTTTGGGTTTCAGCACTCATTGTTTTTTATGTCTGTTTTAACTTGTTATAAAATATCATTTATTATGAAATAAATCATATGAATTCAGTAGCCTCAAATACCTTTTTTCTGCCTAAAAGTCTTACTTTCTAATTCAAGTTTATTTATAAAGCACCAAATCGGGACCAGAGTCGTTTCAAAGACCTTCACACAGTTAACATTCCAACACAGGTCAGTTCATTAAGACAATCAGTAAAAAGTTTCTTATATAAGGAACCCAGCAGGTTGCATCGAGTCACTGACTAGTGTCAGAGTCTTTACAGCGATCCTCATACTAAGCAAGCATGCAGCGACATCCATCCATTTTCATCCGCTTATCCGGAGTCGGGTCTCAGGGGCAGTAGCCTAAGGCGAGAGGCCCAGACTCTCTCTCCCCAGCCACTTGGGCCAGCTCCTCCGGGGGAATCCCAAGGCGTTCCCTGGCCAGGTGAGAGACATAGTCCCTCCATTGTGTCCTGGGTCTACCTTTAGGTCTCCTCCCGGTTGGACGTGCCCGGAAAACCTCACCAGGGAGGCGTCCAGGAGGCATCCTGACCAGATGCCCGAGCCACCTCAACTGGCTCCTCTTGATGTGGAGGAGCAGCGGGTCTACTCCGATCCCCTCCTGAATGACCGAGCTTCCCGCCCTATCTCTAAGATAGAGCCCAGCCACTCTTCAGAGAAAACTCATTTCGGCCGCTTGTATCCGCTATCTCGTTCTTTCGGTCACTACCCAAAGATCATGACCATAGGTGAGGGTAGGAACGTAGATCAACCGGTAAATCGAGAGCTTCCCCTTCTGACTCAGCTCTCTCTTCACCACGACAGACCGGTACAACGCCCGCATCACTGCAGATGCAGCACCAATCCGCCTATCGATCTCACGCTCCAGTTTTCCCTCACTCGTGAGCAATACTCCGAGATACTTAAACCTCCTCCACTTGGGGTAGGACCTCATCCCTGACCCAGAGAAGGCATTCTACCCTTTTCCGAATCAAGACCATGGTCTCAGATTTAGAGGAACTGATTCTCATCCCAGCTGCTTCACACTCGGCTGCGAACCGCTCCAGTGAAAGCTGAAGATCACGTTCTGATGAAGCCAACAGGACCACATCATCTACAAAAAGCAGAGACCTGATCCTCAGGCCACCAAAACGGATGCCCTCCACACCTTGGCTGCGCCTAGAAATCCTGTCCATAAAGGTTATGAACAGAATCAGTGACAAAGGTCAGCCTTGGTGGAGTCCAACTCTCTCTGGGAACGAGCCCGATTTACTGCCGGCAATGCAGACCAAGCTCTGACACCGGTCATACAGCGACCTAACAGCCCATATCAGAGGGCCTGGTACCCCATACTCCCGGAGGGAGGCTACCCTCTCACTCACTGGGGTAAACCCCAACGTACAGGCATCCAGATGGGGGGCAACTAGTATGTCCACCCCTGCTTGGCGCCTCTCAGTGGGAGCAACTCCAGAGTGGTAGAAAGTCCAACCCCTCTCAAGGAAACTGGTTCCAGAGCCAGAGCCATGCGTTGAGGTGAGCCCGACTATATCTAGTCGGAACCTCTCAACCTCACACACCAACTCAGGCTCCTTCCCCACCAGAGAGGTGACATTCCATTTGCCAAGAGCCAGCTTCTGTAGCCGAGGATCAGACTGCCAAGGTCCCCGCCCTCAACTACCACCCGTCACACATTGCACCCAACCCCTTTGGCCCCTCCCACGAGTGGAGAGCCCATGGGAAGGGGGACCCATGTTTCCTCTTCGGGCTGTGCCCGGCCATCAGGCCCTCGCCAACGTACCCCACCTCCAGGCCTGGCTCCAGATGGGGGCCCTGGTGACCCACGTCCAGGCGAGGGAACACGGTTTCCATTTATATAATTTATCATAAGAGGTATTCGGGCTGCTCTTTTTCTGATCCCTCACCCGATGATCTTGTCTGATCCTCTCCACTGTTGCATGCAGCGACAGTGGAGAGGAAAACTCCCTTTTAACAGGAACAAAACTCCAGAGGATCATGGCTCCATATAAGCAGCCATCTGCCATGACTCACTGGTGTAACGTACCATTGTTCCACACACACACAAACACACACATACAAACAAACACACACATACAAACATGTTTTCTGAGTTTTATTAAAACTGCAAACTTCCAAATAAGGTTGGCAGCGTGGCGGGTTTAGGGTGGGGCTTGTAGCCGATTCTCTCGTTGATCAGCTCTGCCCTGGACGCAGCAGTGGAAGAGGATGCTGAGCCAGAAGCTGCACCCCCAATCAGATCCACACCAATGACAGAAGCTCCACCCACTCCTCCTCCTGCCTCAGCTTCTTCTCGCTGACGCTTTCTGGACTAAACAAAGAAAAACAAACATGTTAAGATCAACAACCTGTTTTCATCTGATGTCAGAAAAACCAAAGACAGCAAAAAAAGCACATCAATAGTCACCCTCTGATTAGATCTGGTGACGACAGCTACAGGTCAGAACAAAGAAGAGTGACTGAAACCTCAAGCTCTTTCTTGATGCTCTCAAACTCCTCTGTGTCATCGATCTTCAGCTCCAGACGAGTTGGTTTCCTCCTCAGCATCTTCCTCGTTGTTGTTATGCACCTGCACAACAAATACTAACATTTAGAAAAACAATCGACTAGAAATATTTTTTACGTGTGATGTCCGTGCAAATGTCCCCTGCTGAAACCTGATGTTTAGTGGACCGTAAACAAACATGAAGTCGCTCTGTAGCAGGCTATGAGGCCAGGTCGTAGATGTGAGCTGGTGGTTAGGAGGTCTCATTTGTTTAGATATTTTATATGATTTCTTGCCTTTGACTCCAAACTAACAACACTGAAGGAGCTTGAATTTCCTCATAGTAGGAATATTTTTAAATCTTTAACAGGAAAAAAAAAAGCCAGTGACAGGAGCGACCCAGAAGTTAAGAAGCCACGGCATCGTTTCGTTTGACTTTAATATTGGCTGAAGTGGCTAGAAGCTAACGTTTAGCCAATATGGCTAACAGTGAATTAGAAACAAATAGTTAGCGCTAAAAATAGAGGACCAACAACTGGATATTACAGTCAAACAGATGTGTGAAGTGAATAATCATCGTAAAAATACTTTCTAAAAACTCAAGGTCACTGTAAAGTAAAAGCAAACGAAACAGTCGAACAAGCATTAAATGAGTGGTGCATTCAAAAGCACGATAAAACGTCAAACATAGTTACAGGGAAGAGAAAAGCTTCAACAGGTGGAGGGTTCAGCTGGTAATGACTTCCACGGGGAGGGGTTGGGGGGGGGGGGGGACCGCGTCTAACCCCGCAAGGAAGCCCCGCATGGATGGGGAAAACACGCAACTCTATGAGTTTCGAACCTGCAACCTTCCGGTTAAGGGGGGGCTCTGGGCTCCTGTGCCACCGTCACCCCATCAACGTAAAAGCGTCGCAAGCAGAGGTTTTAAATAACGCAGGTGCTGCGGGTTGACTCCACACAGCGTTATGTTCCAGAACATCCGAAGTTGTTGAGGCGGAAAAGTCGAATCTGTGAACATCATGTCAACTTTACTTCCGTCCACCCGAACCCGTTTGTGTGACGAACCCAGGTGACTTTACCTGACGCACCGAGACTCTCCTTCGTCCTGATCGTCAGCTGTTTGGTTATCTGGCTAACAGGTAGATTGGTTAATTACCCATAAGTACACGGATCCACCAACCGGAAAAAGAAGCTTTGACCCGGAAGCCAACAGTTTCATATCCGGGTTGCAGTGCTAGGAGACGTTGCGGCTTCGTCTGTTTTTACGGTAAGTTTGAACAACAAAACAAACGAAGCTTTAAAACAGAGAAACACGCTTATGGTCCAAACAGCAGGTGCGCGTGCTCGGCTAGACACGCGTGTCCGTGAGCCGTTAGCTCCGAGTCACGTGCGAACATCAGAACGCTTCTATGGTTTCGTCGTGCGGTCCGTGTGTGTTCTGCACAGCTACGGTTGCAGCACCAGTTCACTACTGGTGTGGGTTGCAGCACCAGTTCACTACTAACTCACTCATAACATCTATGATAGCTTCCAGGCAGTCAGGTTTTCGTAGAGCTCGTTCTACTGAAACCAGGGCCGTGCAGAGACCTTTGACGGGGCGGGGCTCAAAGTAAAAAAAAAAAAAAAAGGGGGCACTTTTAGATCAATCCAACAAGTTAAAAAAATCTGATAATGAGACCCTTGGGTTCAAACAACATAATAAAAATTTATCAATTAGTGTTAATGTTAGTTAATAAATAATGAACTAACCCTAACCCACCATTGCGTGGGCGATGGTGGCACAGGAGTTAAGATCTCGCCCCGTAATCGGAAGGTTGCAGGTTCGAGCCCCGCTCAGTCTGTCGCTGTCGTTGTGTCCTTGGGCAAGACACTTAACCCACGTTGCCTGCTGGTGGTGGTCGGAGAGACCGGTGGCGCCTGTGCTCAGCAGCCTCGCCTCCGTCAGTGCGCCCCAGGGCAGCTGTGGCTACATCGTAGCTCATCCCCACCAGTGTGTGAATGTGTGTGTGAATGGGTGAATGACTGATTGTGTTGTAAAGCGCCTTGGGGGGTTGCAGGACTCAGAAGGCGCTATATCAAATACAGGCCATTTACCATTAATAGTTTGTCACTGGAGAAACAAGTTATTCAGTTCTTTGGAAGTAAGGGCATTTCTATTGACAGCACCACTATAGCTGCATGCTACACAATTCCTAAAAAAAACTGAAAAAAAAAAACAAAACAATAATTCAGTTTGTGAGCAGGAAACATAAAGTTGACTTGTTAAAGGTCGTAAAGAAGCTTAAGGGCACAGGAGTGTATGTAAATGAGCACCTGACAAAGAAGAATGCAGAGATTGCCTGGCAAGCAAGAATTCTGAAGAAGGAGAGGAAAATACAGGATACCTGGATAAGGAACTGTAAAGTAATGATCAAGCTTACTGGACCACCAGAACAGGCTATGGTGGTGAGCATCAGGAGCCTCTCTGAACTGGAAAAACTCAAATTATGAGAAGAAGATGGTATTTAATTCATGGACACAGCTAGGGCTGGGGGTAAACGATTATTTTTAAAACGATTATTCTGACGATTATTTTATCGAATAGTCGACTATTCTAATGACTATTTAGAAAATTAATCTAATGATTATTTTTCTATTGCACAATTAACAAAAACCAGAAAATCTCAAATAAATTCCTCAAAAAAATTGATAAATTCTTACTGTAAGAGAAAAAACACTACAGGCCTTCCATTTTGTATAACACTGCGTTTATTGTGTTGGTTGGTTATGTTCTGGTGACGTGTAGAACTTGGGAGTGCCGGCTGCTGCCTGAGAGGTGGTAGAAGATGGAGTGTCTCCATGCTGCTTTGTTTTGGTCACTTATGTGCGTGAGGCGAGTGGTGTTACGGGTTAAACCAAACTCAGGTGGTATTTTACACTAAACCGAAAACCCACAACACTCTAAATGTAATAAAAGGGAGATCTGCACCACAAAAAAGATGAACTCTAAACCAAAACGTAACAGCTTATCCCAACGCAAGAAGCTGTTAGCGAAGATGCTAACAGTAGCTTTACCAACATTAAGTTCAAGTTACCAAGTTTAAATAAACCAAAAACACCCGGCAGCAAACAGACCAGCACGGAGGAGAGACTGCTACCACCAAAACAGCTCTCCTCATGTCTGAAAGAAGCTCCTTAATGAAGGGAGAAGCGCTCCCGGTGATTTTCTACATCTGCGGTAGAGACGAAGCAGCACATCTGACCCCGGAAGTTGTTGTCCGTTGCCGGGAGACGAAGGCGGGCAAAACAGGAAAATAATCTAGTAGGGGACGGACGTTGTTCCGGGTCTTCGGTATTTGGCGGAGATGTTAGTGAAGGCGGAGAAGAGGGCGAACTAGAGGAAAAACGGGCAGATTCCTCCTATTTACAAACTCCTGGGGATGCAACAAGTGGGCGCGGTGCGTCGACTTCCGGATCTGACGTCGACAAATTTTTAGAATCGAGCCGTCGACGTCGTCGAGGCTTCGCTACAGCCCTAGACACAGCAGACTACAAGAAATCAGGAAATAATAGATTTTTTTTTAGGTTTGTCAGTGATGTAGATCATAAAATCTAAAAAAAATATCAAATCTGATAGATAATGGAGTTGACTCAGAAATTAATGGTTGCAGCAACACCCACCTGGACTGTGAATATTATATTGTAGAGGACTTCAAAGTGAGTATGTGTGGATTTTCATTAATACACTTTAACAGCAGAAGTCTCTACAACAATTTATCTAAGATCTCAGATTACCTAAATGAGTTCAAGGAGAAACTTACAGTAGTTGCAATTTCAGATACCTGGATCAAAGATGGAAAAGAGTTATTGAATAAACTGGATGGCTATGAAATGTTTACTCAGAGCAGACAAAACAAAGAGGGGGTGGGGTAGCACTTTTTGTTAGGACTGGTTTTGATTGTACGAAATTAACAAATATGACCTTCATTGTTGAGAATTTGATGGAGTGTCTGACAATTGAAATTAAGTGTAAAAAATCCAGAAACATCATTATAAGTTGTATGTATCGTAGTCCTGGTTCTTCTATAGATCAGTTTAATGAACGTATTGAAACATTATTTGGGCAATGTAGGAACAAAATTGCTTTAATTTGTGGTGATTATAATACTGATATGTTTAAATCAGATGATAATACTAAAATAGCTGAATTCATCAATTTAATGTTTAGTTTAGGTTTCCTTCCGTTGATATTGAGACCAAGCAGGATAACAGCCGTAGTATTACACCGATTGATAATATATTCATAAATCAATCTGACGTCAAGACAAAGAATGGCCTTTTTTAACTGATATTACTGATCATTTACTGGTGTTTACTGTGGTGGAAATGATGAGAAGTGATGAAACATCTCTGGAAAATGTAAATTATACCACAACTAGAAAAAAAACTTCTGTTGCAATTGAAGCTCTGAAATATGAACTGTTTTGCTCTGATTGGACTGATGTTTATGTTGATGATGTTAATAATTCTTATTATGCATTTCTAGAAATATTTTTGGGAGCTTATGATAAACATTGTCCTCTAAAATATCATAAGCAAAACTTAAAAAAAAGGTCCCCACCCTGGATTGTTAGGGGATTGGAAAGGGCTTGCCAGAAAAAGAAATCACTGTATCTGGATTTTATAAAAAATCCAACAAAGGAAAAAGAAAAAAGGTATAAGGAATATAAAAACAAATTAACTACAATAATAAGGAAGCGAAAAAAGGAATATTATGATCAGCTTTTCCTAAAACACAAAAATAATATTAAGGGTACATGGAATGTGTTAAATAAATTAATAAGAAATACAAAATAATCAGGTATAGATATTCACAATAAAAATGAAAAGAACATTGCGAATGAGTTTAATAAATATTTTGTGAATGTTGGCCCTAATCTAGCTAAAAAGCTGCCAGAAGTTGACATTAACCATGAAATAAATAAAAATAATAATACTATGTTTTTGAGCAGTGTAAGCCAAAGTGATGTGATCCAAGCGGTACATAGTTTCAAGAGTAAAAAGTTCTTAGATTTTCATGGGATAGATATGTCTCTCATTAAGGAGGTTATCCATTACATTATTGAACCTTTTACTTATATTTGTAATAAATCCTTTTCAAGTGGCACAGTCCCTGAACAAATGAAAATAGCCAGAGTTATTCCTATTTTTAAAAGTGGTGATAAATGATTAGCTTGTAACTATAGACCTATCTCTTTACTGCCACAGTTTTCAAAGATACTTGAGAAACTTTTTGTAATTAGATTTGAAGCATTTATCAACAAGTTTGATCTTTTAAACGACCATCAGTATGGGTTTAGGAAGAATCGTTCAACCTCATTAGCAGTTATGGAATTGGTAGAGCAGATTGCAACAGCAGTGGATCAAAAACTTCATGTAGTGGCTGTCTTAACTGACTTGAGTAAGGCGTTTGATACAATTGATCACACATACCTGCTCAAGAAATGTGAATACAATGGTCTTTGTGGTAAAACCAATCAATGGCTTGAAAGTTATTTAAGCAGTAGATTTCAATATGTAAATGTTAATGATATAGATTCACAGCATGAAAGAGTAATATGTGGTGTACCGCAAGGCTCGTTGCTAGGACCGAAATTATTCAACCTATACCTGAACGACATCTTTTCTGTATCGTCTCGGTTAAAATTTATTATGTTTGCAGATGATGCTAATTTCATTTATATGGGAAAAGATATGAGTAAATTATTACAAGAGGTTGAAAACGAATTGGGTTCAATTAAAAAATGGTTTGATTACAACAAGCTATCACTAAATGAAAATAAAACCAAATTTATGATATTTTCAGGGAACAGGGACAATGACGGTGCTAAGCTGTATTTAAATGGATTCCCAATTGAACAAGTACATGAAACTAAATTCCTAGGTGTGATTATTGATAGTAAACTCAGTTGGAAACCACATATTGAATATATCAAACGGCAAGTGTCTAAATCTATTGCTATACTTTATAAAACTAGTGATGTACTAAATAAAAAAAGCCTTGTTTTTGATTTATAGCTCTTTAGTTATGCCTTATTTGTCTTACTGTGCAGAGGTTTGGGGAAATGCAGGTAAAACGTGTGTTGAGACTGTATTTAAATTACAAAAAAAGACGATTAGAATAGTTAATAAATTGGGATACCTCGAACCAACCCATAATCTATTTAGTCAAACTAAAACGCTAAAATTAGGAGATATTATTAAAGTAAAAATCTTAGAGATTCTTCATAAAGTAGTTAACAACAATATCCCAAATTGCATAAAAGTTTATTTCAAACCAAGAGATGATCATTATAATCTCAGAGGTGTATTTATGTTTGAATGTGTAAAAGCCAGAACTAATGTGAAATCAAGATGTTTCCGTTGTTGGTGTGAAATTGTGGAATGAGTTAGATGATGATTTGAAGAAATGTACTTCTTTACTAAAGTTTAAAGCAGGTGTGAAGTGTCACATAGTTACAGGGTATGAAAAGTATGTATAGACATGAATGAATTTTCATTGTGGTTATTTATATTGGGGAAAATAAAAGAATATTGGTTATGTATCTTAGGTGGAAATAGGGTAGGCTAAAATAAGCATTGCTTCTGCCTATACCTTTTTTGGTTTAAATTCAAGTTGTTAATATTGTTGTTTTGTTTGAAAAGAAACATTTTATGTTAATGCTATAAACCAAAATAAAGACCGAAAGAAAGAAGAAGATTTCTCAATGATGTAGACCAATGAGACACAGCAGTTTTTATATTATTTCACAAGATCTGACATTTTTTATTAGGAATTTAGTCAAAAATTAAACAATTTCTTTCAATACACCCTAGGTTAAGTAGAAGAAAAGATCTTTTCAATAACGCCTCTCAAGATAAAAATCACGAGGCGCTTCACAAAAACAAAAAATGTAAAATATAAAAAGAATTTAGAAAATGATTAAAAATATATTTAAAATTAGCAAAAAATAGACAATTGACGTAAAAACCCCAAACAATTTCTCAATGATGTTAGTAAGCCAGACCAATGAGACACAGCAGCTTCTAACACCTTTCATGTAATGATCTTTTTTATTAGGATTTTAGTCAAAAATCAAAGTGATTTCTTTCAATAGCTCCTAGGTTAAATGATTTTAATATTCAAAATCATTTGTCGATGATGTCACTAATGGAGATCAATGAGACACAGCAGTTTTTATCACAGGAGAACGTGTTTTTGGGGCGGGGCCACGTGAGTAATGGCGAGGGTGGGGCCGGGTTGGGGACTGGCGCTGGTTGGCTTGGAACCCGTTGATAACTTCTTGCAGTTCTACTTTAAGTTTGTTCTTTAAGTGACTAACTAGAAATAGATTTTTTGAAGGTAATTTTTTAAACCGTAGCAGAAAGGAGCACTTGTTTCCAAAAGCGTAATGGAGTGCGGTTCTGTCCCCAGTGCCATCCTTGTCCTCCCTTACTCTGTAGAACAGACTTTCTGCTGTACTTGTCAAGAACTGACTTGACAAGTACACAAGAACACTTTCTCCTCTACCTTAAAAGGCTCTGAAACCTTGTGCAGGTGTTTTTGATTAATTACCTGATTAGATTGTGACATGTAATTTGAGATATAAAAGTTTTTTTTTTCCTTTGTGGCATTTTTACAGCAACACCAGAAGTGATTTATAATGTCGGACGACGAAGGGCTGGCTCCAACCATGAAGAAGGCTCGCGTTTTCTATGGCAGCCTGGAGGAGAAGGAGCGGGAGCGCTTGAGCTCAGAGATGGTGGCAGGAAGTGATGCGTTAAAGGCGGGCATCAAGGCAGGAAACATCAACATCTCATCAGGTGGGTTTGCTGCTGAGTTACAGATCCTCATGTGAGCCACTGTAACTGGTGTTTAGAAGAAAACAATTTCTTATGCAGCGCCTCAAGATAAAAATCACAAGACGCTTTACAAGAACAAAAAGTTAATATTAAAAATATGATAAAAATTATATCGGAGAGATAAGAGGAGAACCACTCCAGAGCAGATCCTGATAGGCCTACCCAGTCTCTCAGCCTCTCCAGTAGCAGGTGATGGTCAACAGTGTCAAAGGCTGCAGTCAGGTCCAGCAGGACCAGAACAGAACAGTCCCCTGCATCACTGTGAGTCAGAAGGTCATTAGAGACCCTAAGAAGAGCTGTTTCAGTAGAATGAGCTCTACGAAAACCTGACTGGAAGCTATCATAGATGTATGTTCATCAAGAGCAGCTGTGAGTTGTTTAGTCACAACCTTTTCCAAGATCTTGGAGATGAACGGAAGTTTAGAGATGGGTCTGAAGCTGCTATGGAGAGAGGGGTCGAGACTCGGGTTTTTAAGAAGCGGGTGGATTACAGCGTTCTTAAAGTAAGCTGGGACCTGACCAGAGACCAGAGAAGCATTAATTATAGAGAGCACGCTGGGACAGATGGACTGAAAAGCACTTTTAAACAACCATGAGGATTAAGATGTGGAGGGGGCATGCAGAGGTCTTCATAGATGGGTTTCACATGATGTTGCAACTACATCACCAAATGCAGCTAAGGGTCCGGAAGTAGCCGGCGCTGAACAGAACCCTATTTACTTTGGTGACTGGGCGTTAAAATGCTGAAATTCTATGCGGTCTATGGTTATTAAAATCACTTTAATCAGGACAAAGGCAAACGTCAGGACAAAGTCCCAACTGTTGTGCACCACTAAAAGAACACATACTGAAAGAAGACGGCAGAAGTGGATCAGTATTCTACGGCTTAAAACAGGAGCTGAAACGGACAATGATGGCGCTTACAGCGATCACTTTCTAACAGGTAAGAGGTACCTTAACCCTCTAACAGGTAAGAGGTACCTTAACCCTCTAACAGGTAAGAGGTACCTTAACCCTCTAACAGGTAAGAGGTACCTTAACCCTCTAACAGGTAAGAGGTACCTTAACCCTCTAACAGGTAAGAGGTACCTTAACCCTCTTAACAGGTAAGAGGTACCTTAACCCTCTAACAGGTAAGAGGTACCTTAACCCTCTAACAGGTAAGAGGTTGCTGAGCGTTTTGCTAAACTGCTGCTTAGAAACAACCACAAAAACAACTCCACAGCGCCCCCTAGAATGTAAAAATACCTCCCTCAATAAATATCGTACAGTTATGAAATTTTGTACACTTGTAGTACCCAACACTCCGCACAGAAAAGCCTCTTGCAACCATGGTCAACATCAAACAGGAAGTCGGCCATTTTGGTTTGAAGTGGTGATTTTAACCCCGTGTTGGCCGTTTCTGTCATGACTCCCAGGCATAAACCCTCCTCTGCCTCTGCTGCCTCCTCAATCAAGCCCTCAGCCTCTTAATTACCATCACCTGCATCCTGTCATCCGCTCTTCTCACTCACCTGCTCCCCCTGCTATATATTCACCAGCCAGCCACCAGTTCCCTGCCAGATTATTGAACACTTTTTGCTAGTAGATCTTCCAGCATTCCTTCCTGCCAGATCACAGTCCCTTGACCTCGTTTTCCACGCCTGACCATCTTCAAGAACTCTGGCTGCCACCACAATCCTCGCCTGTCTACTACCACGTCTCCAGCCTGCTCCCTGTACCTACTTAGTCCCGACCTGGCTTCGACCCACGCCTGTCTTCGTGTCTGCTCTTACCTGAGTATTACCCCGGTAGCACCTCCACATCTTAGCTCCTGGCTAATAAAGACTTATAAACTGCTTACTGTGTTTGGTGTCATCCAGGGTCCTCCAAGTTCTGAGCGTGACAGAATAATTTGGCCAAAACGTAGACCCGACGCAGAACTGGCACAGCAGGAGTAGAGCGAACATTCGATCTAACCTGTCATGGATCCAGCAGTTGAGTATCTCATGCTCCTTGAGTTCATGAAGCTGGAAAAGGAACAGGAGTCCTCTTTCTGGGGAATGCGTCTGGCAATGAGGCCACTGCCACGCAGAGGTTCCACCCCTCCTTCCAGGCCTGCTGCGGCGGTATTGCGCAGCTGATTCCTGACAACGCGACGGTGGTGGCCCCGAAAACCCCTCTGCAAATTCACTGTCTTCCCAGATCCAAGGTTTAGCAGCTACACCGCTGCAGCCTCAAGCGCCTCCGGTCATCACGCCGTTCCAGCCTCAACTCCCTCGGGCGCTTTCGTCTACGCCTCCAGAGTCTTTGTTCCCTCATCATCATCCAGAGTCTACTTCCCCTCATCATCATCATCATTAGTATTAATCTGTCTGGGATTAAACAATCCCAAAACAATTTCATCTACTTTCAAAACTTGTCACTATTTTTCGTGAAAGCTTCACTAAGCTTAATGAAGCATGGCCTAAAGGAAGGGGAAAGGATACAGGGAGTGCAGAATTATTAGGCAAGTTGTATTTTTGAGGAATAATTGTATTATTGAACAACAACCATGTTCTCAATGAACCCAAAAACCTCATTAATATCAAAGCTGAATGTTTTTGGAAGTAGTTTTTAGTTTGTTTGTAGTTTTAGCTATTTTAGGGGAATATCTGTGTGTGTGCAGGTGACTATTACTGTGCATAATTATTAGGCAACTTAACAAAAAACAAATATATACCCATTTCAATTATTTATTTTTACCAGTGAAACCAATATAACATCTCCACATTCCCAAATATACATTTCTGACATTCAAAAACAATACAAAAACAAATCAGCGACCAATATAGCCACCTTTCTTTGCAAGGACACTCAAAAGCCTGCCATCCATGGATTCTGTCAGTGTTTTGATCTGTTCACCATCAACGTTGCGTGCAGCAGCAACCACAGCCTCCCAGACACTGTTCAGAGAGGTGTACTGTTTTCCCTCCTTGTAAATCTCACATTTGATGATGGACCACAGGTTCTCAATGGGGTTCAGATCAGGTGAACGAGGAGGCCATGCCATTAGTTTTTCTTCTTTTATACCCTTTCTTGCCAGCCACGCTGTGGAGTACTTGGACGCGTGTGATGGAGCATGGTCCTGCATGAAAATCATGTTTTTCTTGAAGGATGCAGACTTCTTCCTGTACCACTGCTTGAAGAAGGTGTCTTCCAGAAACTGGCAGTAGGACTGGGAGTTCAGCTTGACTCCATCCTCAACCCGAAAAGGCCCCACAAGCTCATCTTTGATACCAGCCCAAACCAGTACTCCACCTCCACCTTGCTGGTGTCTGAGTCGGACTGGAGCTCTCTTCCCTTTACCAATCCAGCCACGGGCCCATCCATCTGGCCCATCAAGACTCACTCTCATTTCATCAGTCCATAAAACCTTGCATGCCGGACACACACTCATGCTCCCCATACACACCCTATTCACTCTGGTCCCGGTACTGCTGCACATAGGGTACAACCATCACCGGTTACCAGAGTTTGACCCTTTCTGCTGGGGTGCTGATGAGCAGGCTCCCCCGCCCAATGCTGAGCACAGCAACCCACCACCCCAGACCCCAACCAGACGGCCAGATCTCCCTCCTAGCCTCCAGCCCCAGGAAGCCAAGTGACAACAGAGGTGTGCTAAGACCCCTAGTCTCCCTCCGCCTGCTCCAATATGGTTTTAGTGAGTGTTGATGAGGTGTATTCCATGGCTGTGGTGAGCGGGCAGTGCGGGCATCATCTGGCCTATGCCAGCTGATGCCACCACCACCTCACTTGCACCCACAGCCCTTAGTGTCTAAGTGCAGTTTAAAATTGGAAGTGGGCACCGGCACTCGGGATGAGGCCAAGAAATCCCCCTGCCAAATGCTGTTGAATGTGCTCACTCCCAAGGCCCTAAGTGTGTGTTTGCGTGGAATGTCGTCGGTGGAAGTGTTTAAGGTGCAAATAAAATTAAGGGGCAGGTTGCCACAGGAATGCGGAAATGGGGTCCATACCTGCACTCCCTGACTTGTCCACACCTCAATGTCCTATGTGCATGTTTGTGTGATGATGTGAGGGAGTTGGAGGAGAGAAATGTGTGGGGATGGGGAGGCCCCTAGATAACTTTAACCTTCAATAACTTCAAAAACCGTGGTCAGAATAGCATTAAACTTGGTCTGTGTCATGACACCACCAGTGTGGTAAATATAGAGTATCCCCTAGTGGTGAGATGTGTAATTTATTGGTGGGCTCAGAGGAGATGCTGAGTCAGGGTGAAGTGCAGACGAGGAGACCGTTCGCAGTTTCTGATGTTGGGGTCAACGTTTCTGTTCCGCGGATGTGCCCGGGTACACCGGGCCGCAGAGCTGCCAGGGCCGAACGACGCTGCTTGCAGCTTTAATTACTTTTTGTTCTTGTGAAGCGCCTTGTGATTTTTATCTTGAGAGGTGCAATGTAAAAGACTAATTATTATTCTTCTACTACATACAAGTGTCATTAATTATAAAAAAGGTTTTGCTTAAATCACGACTTTTCTCGTTATTTTGTTTAGGAGAGACTCTGGAGATGGAAGAGCGGGTCAGTGAGCGGCAGCAGGAGGTGCTTGCAGAGTTTGAGCGGCGCAGACGAGCACGGCAGATCACTGTGTCCACCGATGACACAGAAGTTAAGGCCGGCCTCCGAGCACTAGGCGAGCCAATTACATTGTTTGGAGAGGGACCAGCTGACCGTCGCGAGAGGTGGGACAAATAACATTTGTGCATTTGTTTGATAATCTGACTGTTTCGTGGTCAGCTTACACTCAGCCAATCAAATTGTTTGTTTACAAGCTGATATGAGTCTTATGTTGTTTTAGACTGCGCAGTGTTCTGTCCATTGTTGGACCTGATGCGCTAAAAAAGTCCAGGAAGGATGAAGAGAGAGTCAAAAGGTCACATGATGAGGTAAGCAGTTATACAAGTACTATGTAGTACCTTTCAGTACTTTGTCTCTCCCACATTTTCAGACCATTCACCTGTTTTATGTGATTGAATTTTGCCTTGCCCTCCTCCTGTGGCTGATGTTGGCATGCTTTAAATGCAGAAAGAGTTAAGAGTTTGTTGAGCTTTTAACTTTAGAGGAAGAGAGGTTGAACTCAATGTCTCTCAACGCTGAGGACTTTCATTTTGATTCCATCAGCAGGAATATTTTGGATATAGGTGTGTGTGTGTGTGTGCGCGTGTGGGTGTGTGTGTCCCAAGTCTAGGAAACCTAGACAAAGAAGGGAGCCTTGGCTCTGTGAGACCACTCAGGCATGTAGGTCTGAATGTAGGACTGCAGAAAGATGGCGAAAAAAGGATCATCTTCAGTATTCGAGCATTATTTTTAGAACTTCCCTGATGAGACATTTCAGCCTGGATTTAGGGCTGGACACAGCACTGAGTCTGCACTGTTGACGGTAGGGCTGGGCGATATGGCCTAAAATCAATATCACGATATATTGAGGATTTCACCTTGATAACGATAAATGGACGATAACCACAGGTATGCACAGAAACAACAGTTGTCCACTAGATGGGGCTGTTGCATGTATTACGTTAAGTCACATTTTTATGTGACTCAAGGTAGGGCTGGGCGATATGAACCAAAACTTATATCTCAATATATTTTTGATGAATTCCGATATACGATATATATCGATATTTTTTCTCCTGTAAAACATTTACAAGTTAACTCTCTTCAAGCTGTCTTGAGAAATTATACATAAATCAGTATATTAAATGCATAAAAATGTATTTATTCTTGTCAAACTTTAACCTTAGCGCCTATTCTCTGGTACAGCTGTCTGTTAGAATACACACACCCACACACATGCCTGAAACCGCATTTCTTCTTGGTAGATTTTATGCGTAGCGATCTTTAATTCATATCAAAAGTATTTTTTTACATTTTAGGGTTTGCGTACCTGTTTGCAGAATTTTCTTGAATTTCTTTTAATACCATATCAAATTTATTAATAAAATCATTTAATAACAGCATGGCAGCCGACCAAAGTGCTGTACAAATTAAAACACAGTACACATATCAATAAAGACATAATCAACAATAAAACCACAAAAAAGCATAAAACATAGTCTGTAATAAAACACATTGCAACAATTATAGTTCATGGGTGTTGAAATGCCAGATCATAAAAGTAGGCTTTAAGTGATGAGTTAACATCAGTGAGGGACGGCGCCAGTCGCACGAGCGTTCCAGAGGGTTGGTGCAGCAAACACAAAAGCATGTCTCATAGAGGGAACACAAAGCAACAGACAGTCAGCCGACCTGCACATAATCAACCAGGTCTGCTAGTTAAGCTAGCGCTCATGGCTTTGAAAACGAAGGTTAAAATCTTAAACTTCATGGGGAAAAACTAAGATCTGACCACAGCATTAATGTGGTAGGCCATTGAAAGGTCAGAGCCCAATTTGACCCCAAGGCTGGTCACAAACTGCTTCATGTCATAGCTGAGAGCAGCCAAAGCAGAGAGCAAGTGTGAAGCTTTGAAGATCCATGAGACTTTCCTCAGATTTTCACTAATTTGGGTTTAGAAAATTGTCAGATAGTCAGCTCTTCACCTTTGTCAGGCATTGGCTGTGAGAGCATTTGGGTTGTTTAAGGTCAGGTAGATCTGACAATCATCTGCATACAAATGATAGCTTAGGCCAGGGGTGTCAACTCATTTTAGCTCAGGGGCTACACTGAGGAAAATCTAGTCCCAAGTGGGCCGGACCGGTAAATTAAAAACAACTTTAGATTGTTTTCTTTGTTTTAATACAATCGATATAAAACATAGCTGGAGCCCGAGGACAGTGTATCCAAAGTAGTACAAGTACAACATCACTATTAATAAACCACCTGATGTGTACTTGAACATTAGAAAAAAATTTTTTTTAATAAACATTCCTTAGTGATTCAAAGAGCTTTCAGATCACATGGCTAGATCAGTTTCATGGTAAATGGCCTGTATTTGATATAGCGCCTTCTAGAGTCCTGGAACCCCTCAAGGCACTTTACAACAAAACCAGTCATTCACCCATTCACACACACATTCACACACTGGTGGGGATGAGCTACAATGTAGCCACAGCTGCCCTGGGGCGCACTGACAGAGGCAAGGCTGCCGAGCACAGGCACCACCGATCCCTCCGACCACCACCAGCGGGCAACATGGGTTAAGTGTCTTGCCCAAGGACACAATGACAGCGACAGACTAGGCGGGGCTCGAACCTGCAAGCTTCCAATTGCGGGGCGAGCTCTTAACTCCTGTGTCACCGTCGCCCACAGTTAGATCAGTTTCATGCAGCACTTAAAGTTTATGTGACTCTTGATACCTGACATCTTCGAGCTTTCACCAGAGCATCAGTATCAGGAATCACATCCTGAGTGGCGGCCAACTTCAGGATGTGATTCAAGTTCTTGTGTGAGCCTCGAGCGCAGCTTTGTTTTATTTATACTCATTACAGAGGAAACTTGCTCACAAAGACGAGTGGTTCCAAACTCTGCAAGTCTATTATTTCAAGTTGGATGCTGGCGGGGAGATCAGAGGGATTCACGGTGAATGGGGAGCAAAAAATTGTGGAAGTCCTTCTCAAGTTCACCAAAAATCTGAAAGCGTATCTCAAACTCCCTCAACAGTCCCGCTATTTTACCTTTGAACCGCTTCATGTCGGCTACATGTTAGGACGCACACACCTTTTTAGTGTGGACTCTCTGGGGATTATTTTGAGCTAAGAGGCGCTGAGCTCTGATCGATGATGCGCTCCAGACAGATGCGTCCTGAGCACGGCCACAGTAACATTCTCAAAGTGTCGCCACCTCAAAAACAAACTTAACACGCGATTGTTCATGTCGGCTCATTTCCTTTTATGTTTTCTGTCATTTATTTATGCCTGATGCATTTTGCTGCTGAGCAGAGCGCATCACCTGTTTCGTTCTCCGGTAACTTCACCTCACCGTTGCGGCCGGCGCACTGCGCGCACTCCTATTTTTGCGGTCGGTAGATCTTTTAGAACTGCAGTTCAAAGGTAACTCATAAGGTGAATATATATGAACCCATGTAGCAGTTTTTCTTTAGGATTGAGAGGAGATGCAGGAAGATAATAAACAGGCAGGACAGAAAAATAGTCAAATAAAAACAAGTTAGTTTTTGTACCTGGTGGTTGCAACAAACAGACACCATTGAAGGTAATCAGAAGTGAGGAACAGAAAATGAAATAATTATTTTAATGTTTAGATCAACAGGAACTCTGAGAGGCTGCAGGCGCATCAGTGAGTTAGCGGCCGCTGCGCAGCGGGAGGGGTGAGAGGGCTGAAGCGGATCAGTATAGATGCAGAAACTACCGTTGTTAAAAGATGTTTAACTTTGAAAATGTGGGCGCAATTTTTAATTTAAATGGCTTGCTTGCTTAACACAATGCCTGTTGCACCATCTAGTGGACGTATTGGGAACAGCAGTATTTTGATTAGAAAAATTATTTTATTTTCACTCTACATTGTAAAGTATGAAAATAAAATTTACACAACCATCTCGCGGGCCGGATTTAACCCGTTTGCGGGCCGGGTCCGGCCAGCGGGCCGTATGTTTGACACCCCTGGCTAAGGCCATACTATTTTAGGATTTTTCCCAAGGGGAGGATGTATATAGAGAATAAGAGAGGCCCAAGCACAAAGACCTCCAGTACTCCCCAGGGCAATGGGAGCCACGTAGAGCAGCATGCACCAAGTTGAACGTGGGGTACCCCTGAGACCCACCCAAGACTCAAGTCTGTCTAGCAGAAAGCGATGGTCAATTGTATCAACGTTGCAGAGGGAGAAGGAGCATAACAGGAGACCCTGAATCAGAGGCCTCCAAAATGTCTTGTCACTCAAGTAAGAGCACATTCAGTGCTGTGAAGTGGCCCAAAGCCTGACTGAAACACATCAGATAGAGAGTGGCTGTCAAGGTCCTCACAAGGGCCTTAGCCAAAAAGGGAATCAGAATCAGAAGTTTTTATGGCCATATGTGTGCCAAGTCACAACATTAGGAAATTGCTGATGTATTTTGGTGCAGAAGGTAAGATAGAAAAAAAATTAATTAAGAGATAAGCAAATATAAGAACTAATAAAACACTCGTGATAAAATTATTAATGTAAAAAGTGGCAAGAATTAGAGAAGCAGCTATCTACTCCGTGTAGGTACTAATCTGAGTATTTGTTGAATGGTTCAAGCACAGCATCGGGTCCCGTGACTGGGACCAATCAACCTGAGTGGGCTGCCCTAGGATTTTCATTCAAAAGTCCAACTGCAGAGGGGAAGAAACTGTTTTTGTGGCGAGAGGTTCTGGTCCGAATGGATCTGAGCCTTCTGCCAGATGGGAGCGAGTCGAAGAGACTGTGTCCAGGGTGAGACGAGTCAGCTATTATCCGACCTGCACGCCTCAATGTCCTAGAGGTGTACAGATCTTGAATGGAGGGGAGTTTGCAGCCAATCAGTTGCAATTGCAACTTGCAATTGCAGAACATCAGTCAGTGACTTGATGCAATTTGCTGGGTTCCTTATTTAGGAAACTTTTTTCTGACTGGCTTAATGAACTGACCTGTATTGAAATGTTTATTATGTGAAGTGCCTTGAGACGACTCTAGTTGTGATTTTGCGTTTTATAAATGAACTTGAATTGAATTGAATTGAAATGGGATGGAAATGAGCAAAACTGAAGTGGTCCAAACCAAACTTTTTCAAGATCGGTTGCACAACCGCTTGTTTAAAGAAAGTAGGAAACACTCAGTTTCTAGTATCCAGTCAGATTTTTCAGATCCTTGAGAGGTACAGGGACAAAGCTAGAAAAAGGGGGAGGATCTGGTGACTCAACAGAACAAAATTATATTCTACACAATGTTTTTAGTGTGATTTAAATTTTTTTGGTGTACAACTCTTTGGTTAACTGTAATAGTTAAGGTAAAGTGCTTAATAAATAAAGATGTGATGATGATTAAATGGGTGCAAATAAAATATAATTAATTTTTCTTTTTGACCACCACAGTGCCACCAGACATGGTACCATGAAGGCCCTGCCTCCCTGAAGGAAGCTCGACTCTGGTTGGCAAGATACTCTCTGCCACGGTGAGTCATCAACAGGCTTTCCAAACAGTTCACATGGTCACTTATCGGATTAGATTTGTGCCAATAGGATCAAGAAAAACACTTTGAAGATCAAACAAATATTAAAACATTGAGAGAAAATGAAATGTTTCAAAAGAAAAACTTACAATCTGAATCAACTTCTTAAAATGAGTAACAAATGAGGCTACATCACTTCCGGGTCACTGAACTGTCACTCAAGAGAAACCACTGTCCTATGGGAGAGGACTTCTCAGAAGTCCCACCCACCCGAAAGGGTTGTGTCAGAATTGCAACCAAAAACTCAGGGATTGCAAAGGAGAAAGCCAGAAAGTGCAAGTGCAAATCTGGTAGTGAGAGCAAAGCTCTGAGCAGCGAGAACGAAACTAAGGAAACTGATAACAAAAACACATAGAGGCAAACAGAAAAAGGAAACATGTTCATTCAGATCGTAAGTTTTACTTTTGAAACATGTTTTTTTCCTTTAGTCAATATTTTTGTTCTGTCAATTTCTTAAACACTTTGACGGTCAAACAAAAATTTTCTTGATCATTTTAAGAATCTGATTCAGATCGTGAGTTTTTCTTTTTAAACGAATGTTTTTTCTCTCAATGTCTTAAAATTTGTTTGCTCTCCAAAGTGTTTTTCTTGATCCTATTGGCACAAATCTAATCCCATAGTCACTACACAGTAGAGTTGGGCAATAGGACAAATTATTCGACGATGGGCCGAGCTGTAAGTTATTTTTACGAGAGCTGTTAGGAGCGACTTGTTAAAAAAAGCTACTTATGTCCAAGTTAAACAGAAGTCTGCGGCAGCACAGAGACCGCTCCTATACCCCTTCATACTGTCATTGGGTAATCTTATGTAAAAAAGATACTTACCGCTTATAAAAGACCTAAAGCCTAGGGCACACCAGAGGCGGATGCACCGCGTCACTCCTGCACGTCATTTAAAATAGAAGCCATTATAGTTGATGAGAGTGGGCACACAGCAAGGGCCACGCCTAGGCGCTGAAAATAGGTGCCAGTTCTATCTCAACCAACTACAGGTCCTTCTAAAAAAATTAGCATATGGTGATGAAGTTCATTATTTTCTGTAATGTACTGATAAACATTAGACTTTCATATATATTAGATTCATTACACACATCGGGGTGTGCCTTTTCCTGGATTCCTATAATTAAACAGGTAAACTAGTAGTAGCACATTCAATGTCAAAGAGAGTAAAAATTTATTATCAGGAGAGGGAGAATGTTTAAGTGTGCTAGACCAGTGGTTCCCAAACTTATTTAGCCGCGCACCCCCTTCTATGTCCCGACCATGTCAACGCACCCCCCAGCCCCCACATCAGGGCATGGCTATATATATATATATATATATATATATATATATATATATATATATATATATATATATATATATATATATATATATATATATATACAGGGTTAAAAAAATATGATCGACCTTTTTCCTCATCACTTTCATTTTTTAAATAGTAATTAATAAACATTCGATACCATTGCAATTTCCTTTGATTTAATTTTAAATAAATATTTAGAGTGCCCAGGTAGCACATAAACTATGCAATTTAACGGTTTTCTTAAAGCAGGAACGTTTAACCTGTGCGGCCAGAGCGCTCTCCTTCTTTAATACGTCATCCCAAAATAGAAGCTAATATCTTAATTTGACCTGGAATTAAAAATGTTATAAAACCTATTAACAGTTTTTATCACGAGGAGGCAGCGCTCATTTCTGCCTTCAGCCTGACGGCGCGCCAGAGTTTGTGTGTGTGTGTGTGTGTGTTTTCCACATCAAACACTGGTCTAACCAACCAGACCAGCGTGTCCAGTAACATATTAATGTTACAATTAAACAGTTTCACTTCATGTAGGCTAGGAACGTTTCACCTGCCGTGGCCCGACCGCTTCTGCTCCACATAAACTTTGTGCGTGATCAAATGTCTCTACAGGCACTTTCTAAGCTGAAGAGGCTATCCTGCCTCAGACTGGATGCGTCATGCGTCTCCATATTAGAGACGGGAACAAGCGCTATTCAGCCAAAGTTTCATAATCGGTGAACATTTTTCCAAGTGACACATCCCTCAGAGAGACCGGCTTTCCAGACCGCTTCAGTGGGAGGAAATCTTCCCGCATGCGCCGTGGTTCTGCACTGCGCTCCCCTCTAGATCTTCAGCTCACTGTCCACCGTGTGCTGAGCACAGTGTCCAGTATAAAGCTCTGACGTTCTGATGGGAATCTTTTCTCGATTGATTTAGTTACCTCCGCGATGTGTGTAACAATTAAAATGTCAGCTCATCTGTGTGCGCATCAGTGTGCGTCGGGGTAATTCTTTCAAAACAACCAACATCCTTGAGTTTATCTGTCAAAATAAACAGTCAAATGGAAATATCTGTAACCTGCCATTTAACTGTTTTGCCTTCTTGTGAAGATTGTTGCAAAGAGAAACGGCTAAACTTGATTAACCCCAGAGCCACGCGCACTGCGCTGTACTTCCTGACTGTAAATGAGGGGGAAACTATAATCGGATCCTTTTCTTTTCAACATGGTTTAATGTAAAGTTTCATTCAGTACAAACTTTAGTTACACGAGACAGAGCCTGGATTTGTATTCTGAACAGTTTAAACATGTTTAGAACGGAGACATGTGTGACGTGTCTAAAATTCGCACCTGCTCAGCTGTTATGGAAATTAAACTAACAAGATGACTAATATGAAATTATTTTAGGCACAGACAACATCCCCCACACTTTTGAAAAGCTTGCAACGCGCCTGGTGCTAACATAATAATATAATAATGCTGAAATGCTCAGATGGGAATCATTTCTTGACTTATTTAGTTACATCCACAATGTTCTGTGTGTGAGGTTTACAATGTCAGAACACCTGCATGAGACAGGGTCTTAATTACAATCTGCCAGAATGACTCACCTTCAGATTTCTCCAACACTGTTAAAAATGATCAAATACGGAACATATCTTGATATTAACAGCGTGCGCAGGCCAGAGTGCTGAAGCTCGGCGCATTATTATGAAGCTAGGGCACATGTGGAGGACACACACGCACACAAAATATACATGTTTTCAAGTACATTTATTGGGCCTACTTACTTTTTCTTGGGCCCACCCACAAATGAGTTTCTGGCTATGCTAATGGTGACATGACAGACTTCTCTGAGCTCTGCAGCCATGACACCTTTTATCTCGCGCACCCCCTAGCGGCAGCTCTCACACCCCTACCACACTTAGGGAATCCCTGTGCTAGACGATGGCCCCCTCCATGAGGCCACCACAGCTCAGCAGAACATCATTGTAGCTTCTTCTGGGGAGAAAAACACTTAGAGAGAAAATAAAGTTAACAGCTGAAATAGCAGGAAATAATACAGTTAAAGAGCAGATTGTAGAAGAAAGTAGTCGAGTGTGGAAAGTGGTCAGTATGTCCTCCAGCAGTTTAAGCCTATAGCAGCATAACTACAGAGATAACTCTGGATAACCTAGCCTTTTAGATGGAGGCATGTTGGAGGCAGGGCAAGGGAGAGCCGTCTTTACCGACTGTACGCTCCACCTCCCTCTACTCCCCCACTTGTCCAGATCTGGAATAACATCAGGTTTTAACCATAGGCCCTATCAAATAAACATGTTTTAAACTTAGTCTTAAAAGTCTTTGAATTTTAAATCAAGTAAAGTGTATTTTGGAAACATCAACACTTCATATATTATATTATTCACTTATTGTTCCATATTGGACTTATTGTATAGAGGCTTGGGGCAGTACATATAAAACAAATACTACTCCTTTGTTTCTATTACAGAAGAAAGCCATGAAAATTATAAATAAAATAGATGCTAGAGAACATACGGATATATTTTTTTATTCTATCAAAAACGATGAAATTCAGGGATTTGAAAACCTTACTAATTGTGTTCAAGGCAAAGAAGGTGTTACTGCCAGTGAAGTTTTTTGTTTTGATTACAAATGATGGAAAAAAATAGAAAGAAGACTGAGTTTAAAATAATTTTTTGATTTTGATTAAATAAGAGCTTAAGTGTCATGTAAAACCTGATCACACACACACACACACACACACACACACACACGCACGCGCACACACACACACACACACACACACACAACCTAAAAAACAGCATAAGTTATCACTAGGCTAAATGGGTTCAACATACCTAAATGCACTGAGTCGTCACCATGTGATTGGCTGATTAGTAATTTGTGTTAATGAGCAATTGGACATGTGTACCGAATAAAGTGGTCAGTGTGTGTGTATGTATATTCAGCTGTTTGATTGTTCCATTAGGGCGATGAGACGTCTGGAAGATGCACGTGCACAGAAGGACGTTCCTGGGGCAACCAGGACAATTCGTCAACAGGAATTGCACAAGACCCTGAGGGTGAGGTTTGCTACACGTGCAACAAGAATAAAAGCAACTCAGTGAAAACGGACAGGGCTAAAAGCTATTCTTTGTCAGCTCCTCCAGAATGTGAAACCAAACACCAAGGGTGAAATGCACCACCAAGGATTAATTTAAACTAAGATTAGCACTAATGCGGGTTTAGTAATACTGGATTTAAAACGACTCTACCCAGTTTTACCCAGGAACTTGTAAAAGAGTTGTTTTACCTTTATTTTTAGTGGCATTTCAACTACGCCTGCAGCCTTCAGAATTCGGTATAGATGGTGGTGTCACTTCCTCCTGTGTTTATTTGCCAGGAAGGTGTTGCCCTCTGCTGCCCGCGCTCTCCTCACTGATGACACAGTCTCATGCGTGATCCAATGTGTAGACCCCATCCTCTCTGTTTATGGTTTCGTGTCCATTCCTCCTTATTTCAATAGCTTCACAATACAAACTAACAGAAGCAGAAGAAAGAATACTAAAGAAAGTTTTGAACTTTGCATTGCCACCAAAAAACATACCATGTGATGAATTTACTGTAGCAACAGAAATGGCATGTCAACAGATCAGAGATGAAGGGGAAAAGCAGAACTTAGAAATAATGTAGTTAGGGTATTAAAGAACAGCAAGATACAACACAGCAATATTACAAAAGAAGAAAGAACAGCCATGACAGCACCAGCCAAAAGTGCACATTGTGCACGAAGGCCCTTGTGCAATCCAGGGGGTCAAGAGGTTGGTATGGACAAACTGTCAGTGTGGACCTCTGGGTAACCCGCAGGTCAGCTCTGAGTATGACCTGTCTGCTCCCAGGTACCTTCCAGGTGATGGCAGAAAGCTGGCTTATGTATTTTGCATCTGATACCACTCCTAAGTGTTGCAGAGAGACTTTGACCTTGAGGTCAAAAGTGCTTGCTCACCCGGAAGGCTGGCTAAGAACAGTTAGTCCAGGAAGATGAGTCTAATTTTATTAGCTCCTGTTTACAAATGTTGACAAATCAGAATTTGACCAGTTTAACGGCATTACCAAAATAGTTTAACGGCATTACCAAAATACTTCAAGAAATCACTCCTGCACTCACTTAGAGAGGTTAATCTCATTCTCTAATTTCCCTCTGGGATTAATAAAGTATCTTTGATTTGATTTGATTGACTTGGTGTGAAGCAAAAATGTTTTAACCAATAATGATAATTATTATATTACTGTGTTCATACTGATGGATCAAATTAAAATTAACAAATACTAACACTACTCCACAGTTGGTGATCTGCAGAACATTATCTACATGGTAACCCGAAACTAACAGATTTTTCCAGGTGTTTTTAGCAAAAAAAAAACGCGGTAGTGTAATGACGTAGGAGTTGTTTTACCGCGTTAGCGTGTAGCTAATATCCTGCTGATCTCTCCCCATGGACAATGAGCTGATCTGGAAGGCCAGGGCTCCCAGTCGCAGCCGTCTGGCGCTGCTTGTAATTTATACTGAGCCAGGATTCTCTGGAGGTTTCTTCCTGTTAAAAGGGAGTTTTCCTCTCCACTGTCGCTGCATGCTTGCTTAGTATGAGGATTGTTGTAAAGACTCTGACACTAGTCAGTGACTCAATGCAACCTGCTGGGTTCCTTATATAGGAAACCTTTTTCTGATTGGCTTAATGAACTGACCTGTACTGGAATGTTTATTATGTGAAGAGCCTTGAGATGACTTGTCGTGATTTGGCGCTTTATAAATAAACTTGAATTGAATTCGGCCTAGAGACGAGTCCGCGGACGTCAACACCCCCCACCCCCACCGCTCTCCCAATGGGGAGGGCCGACGATTCGTAAAATTGCCGGGGCCGAATTTTGGTCCCAGTCCAACCCTAGTCCAAAGAATTTAGTTTTTCCTTTATTTTTTCCTTAAATTTTTTGTTTCTTTATTTGAAGTTTTTTTTTTTTTTTTCAAATAAACCATCATTTATTTATCTGCCCATAAACCATCATTTGTGTGGAAGCAAATGGATAAGAAACATGTTAATAGTACAAATTTATTAAAGAACCTCGTTGCAAATCTTGGCTGGCATGCTCTTTTGAGCACAACACCTGTTAAATTGCACCCCACCCAAAAAAATGTCACCAGCTACCACTGCTTATTACTCAGTAGGGATGTTCACGTACACGTATCGGTGGATGCCTTTTCACGTTGGACTTCTCCATTGCCTGGGAAATGTTGCAAAGCAATTCTCTGCTAGGACAAAAGAGGGCGTAGCACTTCCCTGTGCTCGGGAGACAGCCATTTCCCTGTCATGTTAAAACAGCTGATCTGTTTATGGAACTGTTCTGAATGAGACTTATTTTTCCCCTCAGAATCTGAACAACTTTTGCAGTCAGATCGGGGACGATCGACCAATCAGCTTTTGCCATTTCAGCCCAGATTCCAAGATGCTGGCCACAGCATCCTGGTAATAAGCCCCGCCCACTAATAGAATTATAATTACTGTCAATCATAGTTTACTGAAGCTAATGCTCATGTGCTAACTCCCAGGAGCGGTCTATGTAAGCTGTGGTCCATACCCGACTGCACTTTGATCCGTACACTCAGAGGTGGGCATAGCTTCTCTGTTTGGTTCTGTTTGGCCTTTCAATATTTATCAAACAAATGTTGTACTGAGTAAGAATCATTTTAGAGTGTAGACAGTGTACACGTGCTTATTGTTTATTTAACTAACTGTTGTGTACGTTCTTTCACCTTTTCATCAAACCAAACTTTCAAATTTTTAAAAAAAAGCATTTAACGTTTTATGTCTCATTTCACCAACATGTAAATGACACTGTACTAAAGCTCTGCCCTCATTGGCTAAAGGACACAGCACAAATGTGGGTGCCATCATTTTCCGGCCACAGGCTGGTGTGCTTCTGGATAAATCCGAGGTGAGTTTGGCTTCGTGTGCTGCTGATGGGACAGTAAAGCTGTGGAACCTGGAGAGGTGAGGAGGATGGAGGGAAAGATTGTGGCCCATTTTATTTGTTTGGCGGCCATTTGAAATGACCGGTCATTTCTGTGGTTGTCGTAGCGACGAGCCGGTGGCAGACATTGAGGGCCACAGTGACCGAGTGTCACGAGTTTCCTGGCATCCTTCTGGAAGATTCCTGGGAACAACTTGGTAAACTGGATCCTAATCAGACTTGGTTCTGGTACTTTGAGTAATCTAAGTACCAGTTAGGGTTGCGGGGATTAACCGGTTAGACTATTAACCCCGGTCAACCCCCTGTAAAGATGTCTCCAACCCGCCTGAAAAACCAAAAAGACGAGTGGGACCCGCATGGACAAAGACAAAATTGAAACTGAACGCAGCAGAAGCAGAACCAGTGATGGCTCCATTCCCATCTAGGAAGTGGTTGAAGTCTCCCGTGTGGGAATATATCTAATATACCTGAAAATATCCCACACAGCAGACTTCAACCGCTTCCTAGATAGAAATGGAGTAGTCCCGATTGTTATCATTGGTTCTTCTGCTGCTGCTGCGTGCATGCGTTCAGTTTCACTCTTGTCTTTGTCCATGCGGGTCCCACTAACCCTAACCCTTTTATAGACGGTGTTGGAGATGTCTTTCCGGGGGGGGGTTAACGGGGGTTAATAGTCAAACCGGTTAATCCCTGCAACCCTAGTATTGTTACAATTAGTTACTCTGTGTACACAGTCTTTGCTCTGTAGTAACTGTGTACTTTGTGTATAGTTATGACAACTCATGGCGTCTGTGGGACCTCGAGGTTCAAGAGGAGATCCTTCATCAAGAGGGTCACAGTACAGGTGTTCATGACATCAGCTTCCATCCTGATGGCTCGTTGGCCGCTACAGGGTGAGTTTTACTGTTAGCATGTTACAGTTGGTCTAGTCTGGTTTTTCAGAGATCTCATCATTTGTTCTTTCTGGTTCTCATCAAATCAGAGGACTGGATGCTTTTGGCAGAGTGTGGGACTTACGAACAGGGCGCTGTGTTGTTTTCCTGGAGGGACACCTCAAGGAGATCTACAGCCTCCACTTCAACCCAAATGGGTCAGCCTTTCACGCAGCAGCAAGTACAGTGATCCCTCGTTTATCGCGGTAGATGCGTTCCAGACCTGGCCGCGATAGGTGAAAATCCGCGAAGTAGGGACACCATATTTACAGTACAGTACTATATTGAATTATCGTATGATCACATTCTCTTTTTTGTGGGTAAAACTTGGCTTTTTTATAGTTTTATTACAAAAAGTGCATTTTATGATATTGATGAAAAAAAAAAACAGGAATTTCTTGATATTTCGCATAGAAAAATACCGCAAATCGGCGAATTTCCCCTTGAATAAGGCTCCAAAGAAAAAATTTGCGAAGTCGTGAATCCGCGATAAACGAACCGCGAAGTAGCGAGGGATCACTGTAGAAAAGAACCAAATAGAAATGAGCAAAGAGGTCCATCTATTATATTCTCAGAGAGACACTGGCACTATTCTAACTTTATATTGTTTCATTTCATAGTCATCATCTGGCCACAGGAAGTGGTGATAATACCTGTAAGGTTTGGGAGCTGCGTAACAGAAAATGTTTGTACACAGTACCTGCTCACCAGAATCTGCTGTCAACCGTGCGGTTCCAACGTAATAAACACTTCGCTTATTTCAGATTTTACGTCTTTGTTTTCTGCTTGACCTCACTTCTCGTGTGTCTGATCTCATTTTCCGGATAGCCACCGATGGTCACTTCCTGTTGACGGGATCATATGACAACACAGCAAAAGTGTGGAGTCACCCAGGCTGGATGCCCCTGAAGACACTTGCTGGACATGAGGGAAAGGTACAAGGACTCAATTCAAGTTCATTTATATGGCGCCAAATCACGACGAGTCGTTTCAAGGCTCTTCACGCAGCACTCTGATTGGTCTGTGGCAATGTGGTGCTCTGACTAATGCATCTGACTATTTCGGCTCTGCTATTTCTGTTTTCAGGTGATGGGCATTGACGTGTCGCCTGATGGTAAACTGATTGCAACCTGCTCCTATGATCGAACCTTTAAACTCTGGCTGTCAGAGTGATGTTATCAGTGATGTCATCTAAATGAACAACTGCTTTTTTTTAGTTTGATACTTTAAATAAAAGTTTTGACCAAGGCTGTTGATTTTGTTTGCTGGCTGACTTAAAATGGGTGGTTTCCAAACATGTACAGAAGCACAGGCTCTTGCAGTTCAAGAGTCGTGGATGTGGTTCTTTCCAACAAAGAACCCAGGAAGGGTTCGGGTTTTCCGTCAGCAGAGGGCGACCTTTGAAAGAAAAAACAGTCTTTTTTTTTATAGCGCCTTTCAAAATAAAAATCACAAGGTGCTTCACAAAAACAAAAAAAAATTCAAATGTAGAAAAGATTTCTAACAATTATTCAAAAATATGTTAAAATGGCTAAAAAGAAAAATTGTGTTTTAATAAATTTCATTAATTTCATTTTTAAAGCACCTTCGATTACCTCAGCAGACGCCCAAGGTGCTGAACACAAACAAACATTTGACAAAAATAAAACTGACAGCAAAGTGGCGCCTCACCAAAAAATGATTTCACCAGCTGCCACTGCTTCTAATCCTCATGTCGAGGGATTCTTGTTTTTCTTCACTCCGTTATAAAATAATCTTTTATATCGTACCTCTCAAGATTAAAACCATGAGGCACTTACACATGAAGTAAAGAGCAAAAACAAAGAAATTTCAAAATGTCTAAAAAATAACATAAATAATGGGAAACACAAAAACTGATCAAAAAAACACGAGGAAACAGAAAGTTTACAAGAAAAGGCAATCAGTAGATCCTGGGAAAGGTAGAATCAGCAAGTAGGCAGAGCGGGTTGCCCAGTAATCACAAGGTTGCAGGTTTGATCCCAGCTCCCACCAGAGAATGCTGCTGTTGTGCCCTTGGGTAAGACACTTAACCCACCTAACCTGTTGGTGGTGGTCAGAGGGACCAGTAGCACCGGTGCTCGGCAGCCTTGTCTGTCAGTGTTCCCCAGGGCAGTTGTGGCTACACTGTAGCTCATCACCACCAGCGTGTGAATGGATGATTGTTGTGAAGCACCTTGGGAGGTTGTAGAACCCTAGAAGACACTACAAATACAGGCCGTTTAACATAAATGGTGGTTTGTGGTTAGAGGCAGACGTGCTCTAGCACAGGGACGACTGTTAAATAAATGTGAAGAACAAAAAGCAGCATCAGGAAATAACAGTGGTTGTAATATTTAATACCTAATACTTAAATGGCTGGTACACCACCAGACAAGACAAAACTGAACCCCATATACATCTCGTTTCTAGACATCCACACCATGTACAGCATTTACAAAGTTCGTCCAGTCTTACTGCTGCCAAGCCTGGCTGGAAACACTGAATATTTACATGAAAACAACAGAAAACTTACTGCTCCAAAGAAAATGTCCAAATAATTGAATGAATAAACTGATTTCGAAAAAAAATTGACATCATTCACATCTGGGTCCTACGTGTGTTTTCCATTCTGAGGTGACCTTTTTCAGACCTCTTCCCCGGAGGTCCAGCTGTGATTGGCGAGTAGAATCAGCCAGCGTGAGCTTCCCGCATGTGCGATTCAATTTCATTCCGGCTGCTGTCGAGTAAACATCTCAGGTGTAGCATGACGCCCCTGCTCTAGCGCGGCGGCAGACAGTGGGAAGGAGAGGAGAGCTGTGTGTCCCTCACTCCGTCCTCTGCTGCGAAGGCGGTTATGAGGACACGCACAAATGAAAAAAATAATGTAGCGCAGTCTCCAAAAACAACACAGCTCACGCTCGGCTTTATCTCCGCGCGTGTCTTTAATGTTGCCCACGTGCGTGGAGATTTCCACGTTCCTGAGAAGTCCTTGGGAACCATCCGTGAATAAAAACGGACTGCTCTGACCAAACTGAGCCGGATGTTAAAGTGACTTTATATTAAATACAAACCATCCGATAATTCAAAGTGCATTTACATATAAGACTCAGGAGGCAACCATTTACACTCGGTGGCAGTTAAAGACCAGTACACTTTCAAGTTTGAGTTAATTCACAGAAAATTGACTGCTGTCAGGAAAAAACCTCAGAAAACACCAACAAGCAAACACATTAAAAAAGAACGCAGTCTGTGTTTGAGATGAAAAATTAAAAGTGAATGCGGACATGCAGACTGAGGTGAGAGGACTTTCCACTGCTAGCAGCACTCTGATAAAGTGACTTTTATTTAAAAAGAGGGAGAAATTAAAGCAAAGAGGTAGAGCACCTTCAAGTGGTGAAGCCAAAAACATCTTATCCAGGTCTCAGGTAGGATTTTTTTCCCTAAATCATCTGGAAGTCTGTTTTTTTGTTTTTAATGAGTTTGAGTCAAAGCTTCTGTCTGGAGTTAGAGCATGATATAATCACCAAATTCAAACACCGACAGCTGCTATCCAGCATGTTTTAGTTGTTTCCCTACTCCAACACACCTGATTACCGACAGCTGCTATCCAGCATGTTTTAGTTGTTTCCCTACTCCAACACACCTGATTACCGACAGCTGCTATCCAGCATGTTTTAGTTGTTTCCCTACTCCAACACACCTGATTACCGACAGCTGCTATCCAGCATGTTTTAGTTGTTTCCCTACTCCAACACACCTGATTACCGACAGCTGCTATCCAGCATGTTTTAGTTGTTTCCCTACTCCAACACACCTGATTACCGACCGCTGCTATCCAGCATGTTTTAGTTGTTTCCCTACTCCAACACACCTGATTACCGACAGCTGCTATCCAGCATGTTTTAGTTGTTTCCCTACTCCAACACACCTGATTACCGACAGCTGCTATCCAGCATGTTTTAGTTGTTTCCCTACTCCAACACACCTGATTACCGACAGCTGCTATCCAGCATGTTTTAGTTGTTTCCCTACTCCAACACACCTGATTACCGACAGCTGCTATCCAGCATGTTTTAGTTGTTTCCCTACTCCAACACACCTGATTCCTGGATGAATCACCCGTTCTGCAGCAGCATGTAAATCAAACCAGGTGTGTTTAAGCAGTTAAACAACTAAAACCTGCTGGATAGCCGCTCTAAAGGACCAGGACTGCCCACCCTTAGGTTAGATGGTGTTCGTTTGGATCAGAAGAAAAACCTCAAATACACGCAGAAGTTGGGGCTGCCTTATTTGTTGGATTTTACAAAAACCAAATGAAACGGCTTCAAAATGAAAAAGTGGAACAAAACATGTTCATCACAAGAACCTAAAAGTGTCCCGTAAAACTTCTAAAGTACTTTCATTATTGGGACATCCCGAAAACCCAGATTTAAACCACACAGAAACACAGTTGGTCCCCGACTTGTGAATAAAATAATGGAGTCCATTTCAGTTGGCTCCGCAGTCCTTCAGTCCAATCACGTCATTACATCACAGCCCCTTTCCTTAAGGTCACATGATAACGTTGACTCTGACTGTAGCTGAATTAAGATGTCAGCCCCACACTGAGTACAAAACGGGTCCAAAAGTACATCTAGTCCCACCGTAGGGCCAAAAGAGTTCCACTTCTCTTCGGAACAAAACACCACACATCCTTCAGACGATGCTGTCGTGCAGCAGTGGCTCAAAGTCTTCGTCACTGGCGGTGGGTGGAGTCTCCTCATCGCTGCCGGGAAGCGGCGTGTTGATGTGGACGCCGGCCAACGAGGACATTGACTGCTTGCTGTCTGGGTGGGGCTTATCGCTCACCGACAGCTCCGAGGCTGAGGAGGAGCAGGACGTTTTCTCAGGGATGAAGAGAGCCACGAGGAAAGCGATGACCACGGTGCACGCTCCGAGCAGGAAGGGCGGCCCCGGGATAAGCGCTTGCTGGAATGGGACCAAAAAAAAAAAAAAAAGACAAACTGGGTTTTTTATCTTTTTATCTGTAAATTAACAGGCAGAGTTACGAAGAGGTGAAACATTCACGGTCTAAAGGTGCAGAGATGAAGGGAATAATAACGTCAAGTCTATTTGATTAGAAGTGGTGCAGCTCATCAAAAGAGGTCAAAGGTCGAACACAGACCCACTGAATCCTAGAGTTAGATGATTTACTGTAAGGATTTAAACTCTAGGGCCTGAACCCTCGCACTTAAATTCTGTACATCCTGTCTTAGGTTGGACAGCTCACGCTTCATTTCAGTGAGACAATCAGTCATTTGTCTCAGTTTGTAGCCATCCTGAAAAACTGACGCTTTTTGACGCTGACCAGTGACATCACTCACTGCCAAAGCAGTCTCGAAATGCTGACGTCTTTGCAAAGTTCTGATTTTGAATGGAGAAACAACAGTTGAAAGGACTGGGACATCCTGGTCAATTTCCCCATCCCAGAAATTACCCTGGAGTTAGAAACAGGGCTATTGTCTGCTGCCAGACTCCCTTTCTTTTTGGCCCACCTTTGTTGCCCGGCAACAGACAACAACTTCCAGGGTCAAACCTGCTGCTCTAACTCTACCACAGATTGAGGAAATCACCAGGATTTGCATTTCTTCCTCCATAAGAGAGCTTCTTTCAGACAGTTGAGGAGAGCTGTTTGTGCGGTAGCAGCCTCTCCTTCGTGCTGGTCAGTTTGTTGGCCTGTTGGGGTTGTTTACAACAGCTGTTTCAGCAGATGTCCTAGTGAAGCGTCACCAGCTGCCCAGGGCATAGAACTGGAGTTATTTTCCGTTTGTCAAAATCTTTCAATTCCAGCCGTGAAAATTCAAAAACCTTTTTCATCTGAGGTTTTAATTCTTCAAAGGAATTTAGCCTCTGGCCGATATCTTAAAAATATCGCCTAGAGTTTGGTTTAACCACCCACTTTTGAATTAGTACCTTTTGAGGTTCTTATTTAGGTTTTTAAGAACCCAGTAATCTTTGCCCAGTTTTAGTGGGGCGTCTTTAGTTATTTGATTATTGAAAACTCTAGTTATTTGTACTTTTGCTTAATTTCCCACAGGCCATATTAGTTTTGCTTGTTAGTATTCCTGACCTGCATGGCTCACTCCGCCCCGGCTGCGTTCGTTCGAGCCGGGTCCTGCCAGCCGAGGGGCGTTTCTGCTTGGGCTACAAAAACACTTAGTGTGGGTTACTGTAGTTTCTCACCAACCAATCAGAATGGGCATCAGAATATGTAATTTTCCCTTCTAGACATTTGTCAAAATAAAAGTCTACACTAATTGATTGTGTCACAGCGCCTAGGTAAAAGAAAAGCTGCCACATCTACAGAACACATTTTTTGTAGATTTTTTAAAAGATATTGTAATGACTCCAACTTTTTCTTTCTGTTTCGGATCTGTTTTGTAGTTTTATAAGCTGATAATTAAACTGAAGCAAACATCTTTACTGTGAACTAAATTTACTGTGTATCTTCATTCCTTTTGCCGTCCTTTTTCATTTGATTTTTCCTACTGGGAAGCTAGAATTTCCAAGGAGAAAGCGAACGCACCATTAGCTGATAACAATGGTGGCAATGGAAGCTAACATATCAAGCTAACGTTATCTTAAACAGTTTATTTATTTAGCTGCTGGAGCAGATTAAAACGATGATGCCTCACACTTAGATCATTGTCGCTGGTTTCATCTTCACTCAATCACCCGTCGCATTTAGTAAAGTGAAGCCAAACTTTAGAGCGCGTTCATGTTCTTCTAGTCGGAAATTCGGAGTTCCGAGGAGAAAGCGAACGCACCATTAGCGAAACGGAAGCCAACATATCAAGCTAACGTTATCTTAAACATTTTATTTACCTACCGGCGCAGATTAAGATGAGGATGTCTCACTTAGATCGTTGTCGCTGGTTTCATCATCACCCAGTTACCCGTCACATTTAGTGAAGTGGACCCAAGCTTTAGCGTGCGCTCTTTCTACCATGCTGCTCTGTTTACAACTCGCTCGCAGCGACTGACGACATAACGCTCTTGCGCATGCGCAGCTGTCTAGGCAAGTTCTCGTTATGAAGGACGGGTACCGAAACGAGGCACCGTTTCAAATGACGTGAATCGGTGCTCAGTCGGTACTATGGAATTCGGTCGGTACCTTAAAAAGTACTGAATTCGGTACCCATCGCTAACCACGCCACACAGATTATACCTGAATTCTAAGGGCTCTACCTCTGTAACAGGATTAGTGCTTTCCTACTCAACACCGTTTGTGTCTGCTGTCTTCTGCTGGAGAGTCTAAGTACTGCAGGTGGAGAATGTACCTCAGTAGGACTGTGCAGAGGCAGTGGGTCAATGTTGTATTCGCCCTGGATGGGGTCCATGGTGTTCAGCTCTACATTGAAGAGGAAGAAGATGAACCCATACAGCGCCGGGCCCAGACCATTGCACAGCCCTCGGATCCCGGTGATCATTCCTTGAACGACGCCTGCAGAGGAGACGGGATTTGGAACAAAAACCCAGAACATCGCATCGTGATTTTATCCATAAAAAATCTGAGTCGATGGGAGGATCTGTCACCTTGTTTATCAGGATCAGCTGACTGGGATACCAGAGCAGAAACAGCAGGGAAGGTGATGGAGGACACTGCTGCAACAGCTCCAGCCGCCCACATCATCCTGGTAACAAGGGAGGAGGAGCCTTTCAGCTTCCTTTTTAAGTTTCTAAACCTTTGTTTCATTCTGAGTCAAAACATTCAAAAAATGTATAATAAAAATAAATCAAAAATTTGTTTTCATAATTGAATCCTTGTAGCTGTGAGCCATAAAAGGCCAGATTCCCTGAAAACCCAGCTTCTGAACAGGAATCTGAAGTTGGAAGAGTTTTCTTCTCACCATGGTTCTGATCCAAAGCCATACCAGGCCAGCTGAAGGATCTGGAAGCCCAATCCCAGGAGAACCGTGTTCTTGTTTCCCAGATATCTCATCAGCAGAGTGAGGAACAGAGTCTGAGAGAAAAAACACCTCAGGTAAGTAAGGTGACTTCATTTGTTTAAATGGAGAGTTGACGATCTGTGTTACCTGGGCTACTATAGACAGAATTCCCACTACTCCTATAAAAACAGCGATGGTCGTGGAGGAGAAGTTTACCACCTAAAGGTGAGAGAAAAAGTTTCAGATCCAGTTATCTTTTAAAGTAACACTAGATAGTTTTATGAGCTTCAACATTGATCTCTTTGAATGATGCGTTAAAGTTAAAGTTCACCAGTAAAGTAACGCAATGAGCAACACCTCCAAAGCTGAGACGCATCAGCTCATTGGTTTGGGGGATTATTAGGGCTGAAACGATTCCTCGAGTACAAAAAACCTCGAGTCAAATTCTCTGCCTCGAGGTTTCGTTTAATTCATGTTTAATTAATACATGGCATTGCAGTCGCCCGGGGTCGTGTTTCACCCGGACCAAAATAAGCGACGCACATACACACTGGACTGAATGCACACGCGAGTAGCGAATGTAACTCTCTTAAGCCATGGCGGACAACGTGGACCCCGGTGCCGGTGGAGTGCGAAAAAGACAGGAAATGTCAAAGGTGTGGGACCATTTTTCACGTCATAAGGCACAAAACGTAGTCCAGTGTAAATACTGTAAAATGGATTTAGCCTACCACAACACCACATCCTCCATGCTGCAGCACCTGACCAGGAAACATCCACATGTAAATGTCCCTTCTGCAAGCGGACTCGGAGGTCCGCTATATGTTCTGCGGACGCTCTGTGACTTTTTCGTTTGTAGCACTCAGTTTCAGCTCACACCGTCGTCTGGTAGCAACACGTCGGACCTTAAAATGTGCTAAAAATAGCAGTTTTTACACAACACGTCAGACTTTTTATTGTGTTGTTATTGACGTCTGTTGTCCCTCGGGGTCGCTGCAGGAGGACACGGGTATTTACGAGGAAAACGAAAGAAAGTAAATAAATGTTTTGTGATCAGTATAACTTGACATGACCACTGCAAACATGCTTTCTCGACAATCCTTGTTAGTGTGAGAAAAACAAGAGTAGAAATTAAAACAGACGTGTGTTAATAGGGAAATTATTTCCTGCTATTTCAGCTGTTAACTTTATTTTTCTCTAAGTGTTTTTCTCCCCAGAAGAAGCTACATTGATGTTCTGCTGAGCTGTGGTGGCCTCATGGAGGGGGCCATCGTCTAGCACACTGCTGCTAACCACTTAAACATTCTCCCTCTCCTGATAATAACTTTTTACTCTCTTTGACATTGAATGTGCTACTACTAGTTTACCCGTTTAATTATAGATTCACTAGAATAAATACAATAAAGTTTATCTTTCACCAAACAGAATATTTACTAAGAAATCACAATGTAACCAGTGTGTGTGTGTGTGTGTGTGTGTGTGTGTGTGTGTGTGTGTGTGTGTGTGTGTGTGTGTGTGTGTGTGTGTGTGTGTGTGTGTGTGTGTGTGTGTGTGTGTGTGTGTGTGTGTGTGTGTGTGTGTGTGTGTGTGTGTGTGTGTGTGTGTGTGTGTGTGTGTGTGTGTGTGTGTGTGTGTGTGTGTGTCTTCTCGATCCCCAGTGAGTCGTGAAGGATGGCTGCTTATACTGAGCCAGGATTCTCTGGAGGTTTCTTCTTGTTAAAAGGGAGTTTTCCTCTCCACAGTCGCTGCATGCTTGCTTGGTATGAGGATTGCTGTATAGTCACTGACACTAGTCAGTGACTTGATGCAATTTGCTGGGTTCCTTATATAGGAAACATTATTTCTGATTGGCTTAATGAACTGTGAATTGGAATGTTTATTATGTGAAGTGCCTTGAGACGACTCTTGTCGTGATTTGGCGCTATATAAATAAAATTTAATTTAATTTAATTGAACTATAAAACAAGACAGTATTTGTTCTGTGGGACCCCAGTGGGACCATGCTGGGTCTCACCTGTCTCAGGTAGAGGAAGAAGCTGGAGTACTGTCCGGCCTCCGGCAGGTAGGACAGGAAGACGGTGATACAAATCAGTAGGACGGTGGAGTCCTGACCCACCTTCCTCAGAGACTGGATGAGACAGGAAGTAAAGAACCAGCGGCATCAGAACATCAGAGGGTCGTAGTTAAAAACCGCCGAGTCATTTCTGTGGTTATAAACTGTAGTTGTACAGCTGAGTTTCCCACTCAGGGCCAATAAGGACCTATGATCAGAGACGAGACTCAGACCACGTCACGCAGCTTGTTACCTAACCAGCTAATTAAGAAGGCACTGAAAACGACAGGGTACTGACAGCAAATGGGTCGGCCTGCTCCCAAGAGATGGGTGTCCCCCATGTATTCAGCCTCATCTTTTCTGGCAGAGATTCGGGAACGGCCAGCAGGATGAAGCAGATGTCAGCCAGGGCAATAAGTGTGGCTAAGAGAACCACCAGGTTGTCTCCGTACCAGGCCGACAGGTACGCTCCGATGGCGGGACTCGTCACCAGGCTGGCAGCAAAGGTGGCTGACACCTGGGGAAAAGGAGGTCAGAGGGCAGGGAAGGGTGAGGTCCACACAAAGTTTTACACTAAGAACAATAATACATCTGTCCTTACCAAACCATACGCCGTACTTCGCTCTCTCTCATCCGTCACATCTGCAACGTAGGCAAAGATAACGGAGAAAGTGACGGAAAACGCTCCGGACATGGAGATCATGGCAAAGTACCACCTGGATGAGCAAGCATGGAAAATCAGTTAAAAATCAGCTGAACAAAACACACAGCCTTTTCAGGTATATCCTTACTATTATCTGGTTTCTGGTTAGGCCCCTGACCGCTTCTTAAAAAACCGAGTCTCGACCCCTCTCTCCATAGCAGCTTCAGACCCATCTCTAAACTTCCGTTCATCTCCAAGATCTTGGAAAAGGTTGTGGCTAAACAACTCACAGCTGCTCTTGATGAACATAACATCTATGATAGCTTCCAGTCAGGTTCTCGTAGAGCTCATTCTACTGAAACAGCTCTTCTTAGGGTCTCTAATGACCTTCTGACTCACAGTGATGCAGGGGACTGTTCTGTTCTGGTCCTGCTGGACCTGACTGCAGCCTTTGACACTGTTGACCATCACCTGCTACTGGAGAGGCTGAGAGACTGGGTAGGCCTATCGGGATCTGCTCTGGAGTGGTCTGGTGGTCAGAGGGGCCGACGGCACCAAATGGCAGCCTCGCCTCTGTCAGACCTCCCCAGAGCAGCTGTGGCTACATTGATCCTGATCTCACGATTTAACTAGTACAGAAATTAGTTTCCACACAGGTCCGGCTGATTTGGAGAACTATTTTGTTCTCCGTATATCATCCTGTGTGAAAGTATGAGATCATGTTTATGAATTGCTCTCCAACTGCAGCTTTTGTTCAGTCATCACAATCAACGAAGCAACAGAAAAGGTGGAGTCCTACCAGGGGCTGAGCCTCATGAGTGGGATCGGAGCACAGGTGAAGAAGACTGTGATCAGCAGGAAGGACCGTCGGCCCCAAACGTCTGACAGCGCTCCGATCAGAGGAGCAGACATGAAGGACAGCAGACCCTGAAACAGGAACACAAATGTTCTGCCTTTTTTGACTCCGTTGGTTCAGAAAAGTCACAGTTAGAATTCTCACCTTCACACCCTGGATGAGTCCGTTCATCAGGAACGTGTGCTGAGGAAATGTTTCATGTAAAACCTACAAGGGAACACAAATAAAACTAATTCCTCAGAAATGATGAAGATGAACAGGTTAGTGAAGATCTTGTCCATGCTGGTAGACCTACAGTGAGCATCGGAGTGGTGAGTAGACCCCAGGCAAAGAACTCCAGGAAGATGACCACCACTGCATGGTACACACTGGGTCTGCCAATGCCCTGCTGGGGCTGAAGACATAAAACAAGATGCAAGTTTTATTTAAGAGCTGAGAACATTCAAGAGGAACTCTATTTGTCTCAAGCATAACATTTCTACATAACATCTGAATGACCTAGAGGCAGAACCTCACTAATCATCTGCCACCAGTTTTACATTTGTCTCGAAATGCCTGTGAAGGTACTTGGATCACCAACTCCTCAACTTTGTGAAGGCATCTGGAACCTTCTGAGTTTAGTTTTCCTGAATCCTGGAAGGTTCAGAAAACAAATCCAACTGGATTTTTTTATTTTGTTGAAGATGCTTTATTTCTCAGAAAGGTTTAAGCTGAAGTTAGAGCATGGACGTAATTTTGGGGGGGGGGGGGACAGGGGGGACATGTCCCCCCCACTTTTTCCAAAGTCAAGTTTTGACCCCTGTACTTTTTACCATCCAAAAAACAATATTACACTATATTAAATTGACACTGGTTGAGCTCTAGGACCAAGCGGAAAGCAACCGTTTGTGTTGAAGCCTGTAAAGATACCCCCCCCCCCCCCCCATGTCCCCCCCACTTCTAAAGTGAAAATTACATCCATGAGTTAGAGCTTCTTTAAAGCTGCAAATGGAGCTTGTTATTGATTCACGTTTCAAGAATCGATTTGACTCCGATTCTTAAGAATTACAATCAGTTATTGCGATTTGATTTGATCCGATCCAATCTGACAAATTAATGAACTAATGGATGTTTAAAAAGGCCCAATCCTTCTCTCACAAACATGCTGTCAGGCAGAATTAGCAAACAGGTCCAGGTCGGCCACCAGAGAAGTAACAAGTGTCACAACTGCATCCGTGGACTGCTATGGGAACACAAACCTAGTTATCCAAATAACACATTAAATTCATCCAACGGCTGTAGCTGCACACACACACACTTGTGTTTCGATATTTATATTGACCTCACTTATTGTTAAGTAAAGCCCAAATAGAGACTGGCCTAAACTTGCTTGTGTCTGGAGAGAACAAACATGACTGGAGTCTGGATGCAGTGAGAACATACAATCAATCATTTATTGGTACAAGTGAAGCTTAAATAGGAGAGCACATGGCATGGTCACATGACAAACACACCTGTGAGGAATGAAGCATAATTGGGAGCACAGTCATCAGTCAATGAATCTGTTAACACCCCCACTTGCTCACACATTATTCACAATCAACAAAGCAAAAGCAAGCACAGGAACATCATGGAGACCAACTACCGTACATTGCATCTTTGCTTGGCTATTCCCCAAACAGAAACATGGAAAAGGTAAGTAGTTTCCCTTTTGCGCTGGTTTAGTCATATGGTCTGCTACCATCTGATCTGTTGGGCAATACTCCAAAAACACTTCACCATTGTTAACAGTTGATCTCACAAACTGGTATTTGATATCTATATGCTTACACCTCTGTCTTTGAACAGGACTCTTTGCTAGCATAATTGTGCCCTGGTTATCTACAAAGATAACAGGCAAATCACACAGATAACCATTTAGATGCTCAAGCAATTGAGTCAAATACAAACACTCTTGTATGGTGTTAGCCAGTGCAATGTACTCAGCCTCACATGTTGACAATGCAACAGTTGGCTGCTTTTTGGTCTTCCAAGAAATCAGAGGACCATTTCCACATAGGCTAATGCAATAACCAGATATACTTCGTCTGTCATTCGTATCACCAGCCCAGTCTGCATCACTGTAAGCTAACAAGCTTAACCCTTCACCACATTTCCAGTAACAGAGGATCTTGTCTTTTGTGCCTTTCAAATATTTCAGTACATGCTTTACAGTTGTCCATTGCTTTTCTGTTGGCTCACTAAAATACGGTGGCAATTTGCTAACATTATAACTCAGATCAGGTCTAGTGCATGTGGTCAGGTAGATGAAGCTTCCCACTGCCTCTCTGTATTTTCTGGGATCATTCAGTTTTTCATCACCATCTGTGTAATTCAATTTTGATTCACAAGGTGTCGACCTGGGTTTACGATCCTGCATGTCAAACCTTTGAAGCAGTTTGCCAACATAACTCTGCTGTGACATAGTCACACTTCCATCACACTGGTAAAAAGAGATACCTAGAAAATTCAGTCTTCCCAAATCTTTCACGTGGAACTCCTCAGCAAGCATTTCTTTGACAGTTTTTAAGGTTCTCTCATCACCAGCAGCAATAATCAAGTCATCAACCCATATCAATTTTACTACTTTTTCATGTTCTGTTTCTCTCTTGTAAACACATTGGTCTGCTGGATTCTGTACAAATGTGTTTTCACACAGATAGTCATGTACCATTTTGTTCCAGTTTCAACCTGATTGCTTTAGTCCATACAATGAATTCTCAAGTTTGCACACAACCCAGGAGACATGGCCAAGGTAAGAAAGGCTGAAAGACGACCACCACTGAACAAGACACACAAGCTGAAACGTCAACACTGGGCCAATAAATATCTCAAGACTGATTTTTCTAAGGTTTTATGGACTGATGAAATGAGTCTTGATGGGCCAGATGGATGGGCCCGTGGCTGGATTGGTAAAGGGCAGACAGCTCCAGTCCGACTCAGACACCAGCAAGGTGGAGGTGGAGTACTGGTTTGGGCTGGTATCATCAAAGATGAGCTTGTGGGGCCTTTTCGGGTTGAGGATGGAGTCAAGCTCAACTCCCAGTCCTACTGCCAGTTTCTGGAAGACACCTTCTTCAAGCAGTGGTACAGGAAGAAGTCTGCATCCTTCAAGAAAAACATGATTTTCATGCAGGACAATGCTCCATCACACGCGTCCAAGTACTCCACAGCGTGGCTGGCAAGAAAGGGTATAAAAGAAGAAAAACTAATGACATGGCCTCCTCGTTCACCTGATCTGAACCCCATTGAGGACCTGTGGTCCATCATCAAATGTGAGATTTACAAGGAGGGAAAACGGTACACCTCTCTGAACAGTGTCTGGGAGGCTGTGGTTGCTGTTGCACGCAATGTTGATGGTGAACAGATCAAAACACTGACAGAATCCATGGATGGCAGGCTTTTGAGTGTCCTTGCAAAGAAAGGTGGCTATATTGGTAGCTGATTTGTTTTTGAATGTCAGAAATGTATATTTGTGAATGTGGAGATGTTATAGTGGTTTCACTGGTAAAAATAAATAATTGAAATGGGTATATATTTTTTGTTGCCTAATAATTATGTACAGTAATAGTCACCTGCACACACAGATATCCCCCTAAAATAGCTAAAACTAAAAACAAACTAAAAACGACTTCCAAAAACATTCAGCTTTGATATTAATGAGTTGTTTGGGTTCATTGAGAACATGGTTGTTGTTCAACAATAAAATTATTCCTCAAATACAACTTTCCTAATAATTCTGCACTCCCTGTAGTGGCCATCCAAGTATGTGAGCATTTAAACACTAATGATCTGTTTGAGGAATTTCAGTCTGGTTTTAGAGAGTATCACAGCACTGAAACTGCGTTAGTGAGAGTTACAAATGATATTCTCATGGCCTCAGATAAGAATCTTGTGTCTGTTCTAGTCTTGTTAGATCTCAGTGCTGCTTTTGACACAGTTGATCACAATGTTCTTTTAGAAAGACTTGAACATGTTGTAGGGATCAAAGGAACAGCGCTAGGCTGGTTTAAATCCTACCTGTCTGACAGATTTCATTTTGTAAATGTACATGACAAATCTTCTTCTTACTCCAGGGTTACTTGTGGAGTACCACAGGGTTCCGTGCTTGGACCAATTCTTTTTACTATATATATGCTCCCAATTGGTAAAATCATTAGACAGCATGGGATAAACTTCCACTGTTATGCTGACGATACTCAGTTATATCTATCCATTAACCCTGATGAACCTAATCGGTTGGGTAGATTACAGGTTTGTCTTGAAGACATAAAAAATTGGATGACTCAAAATTTTTGCTTTTAAATCAAGACAAGACGGAAGTTCTCATCTTTGGACCTGAAATTCAGAAAAGGAAATTGCTTAGTCAGTCACCTGACCTGAATGGCATTACATTAATCTCCGAGAACAAAGTAAGGAACCTTGGTGTTATCTTCGACCAGGACATGTCATTCAAATCCCAAGTTAAACAGGTTTGTAGGATTTCCTTTTTCCACCTTCGGAATATTGCTAAGATTAGATGCATCCTTTCCAGGAGTGATGCTGAAAAACTAGTTCATGCATTTATTACATCAAGACTGGATTACTGTAATTCATTACTCTCAGGAAGTCCACAGAATGTAGTTAAAAGTCTTCAGCTTGTCCAAAATGCTGCAGCCAGAGTTCTGATGAGAATTGAAAAGAGAGATCATATCTCTCCTGTCTTAGCTTCCCTACATTGGCTATCTGTTAAATTCAGAATAGATTTTAAGATCCTTCTTCTCTCATATAAAGCTCTTAATAATCAAGCTCCATCATACATCAGTGATCTGATAGTTCCATACGTTCCTAACAGAGCACTTTGCTCTCAGACTGCAGGTTTACTGGTGGTTCCCAGAATATCTAGAAATAGGACGGGAGGCAGATCTTTTAGTTATCAGGCTCCTCTCTTGTGGAACCAACTCCCAGCTTTAGTCCGTGAGGCAGACACCTTGTCTACATTTAAGACTAGGCTTTAAAACATGTTTATTTGATAGGGCCTATGGTTAAAATCTGATGTTAGCCCAGATCTGGACAAGTGGGGGAGTACAGGGAGGTGGAGTGTACAGTCAGTAAAGACGGCTCTATACGAGGCGCTATACAAGTGCAGGTCATTTATCATTTATCATTTGCCCTGCCTCCAACATGTCTCCATCTAAAAGGCTAGGTTATCCAGAGTTATCTCTGTAGTTATGCTGCTATAGGCTTAGACTGCTGGAGGGCACAATGACCACTTTCCACACTCTACTACTTTCTTCTACAATCTGCTCTTTAACTGTATTATTTCCTGCTATTTCAGCTGTTTTTACTTTTACTGATTGGCTTAATGACCTGATGAACTGTGTTGTAGGACTGAACGATCTCTCGTTTTTGGACTGAAATTGCGATTTCAAACAGCACGATCATATCGCACCTGCTGGCATGGTTCAAATGGTGCCTGCACTGCCCGCTCCCCCCAGCCATGGAACACACCTCATCAACATGCATCAACACTGTATTGGAGCTGGCAGAGGGAGACTAGGGGTCTTAGCACACCTCTGTTGTCGCTTGGCTTCCTGAGGCTGATGGCTAGGAGGGGGAGCTGGCCATCTGGTTGGGGTCTGGGGTGGTGGGTTGCCTGCTAATCATCACCCAGCAGAAAGGGGCAAACTCTGGGAACCAGTGAGGGTTGTACCCTTGCAGAGCAGCAGTACCGGGACCAGAGTTAATAGGGTGTGTATGGGGAGCATGAGTTGGTGTCTGGCGTGCATTTTTGTAAATCTTGGATTGTATGTATGCATGTATGAGCATGAGGGAGGGAGTATGTCAGGTGGGGTCTTAGACTCCTCCCCTCTCCTGGGACTTCTTGAGCTACTACACATCTTCGCCTGATCTCCCCCTGCCACATTTGGTGTGGAGTGTAGTGCCTTGGTCTGCCTGAGTGTTCGCGGCTCTCAGGTCAGGGGGTTTAAGACTTTTGGAGTCTGTCTGATTGATCCCGGTGGCTGCCTGGTGGGATCTGAGTCCCTGGGCTCTGTTGGGTCCCCAACAGGGCCGGTCAACCCCGGGTCCCGGGCTCGGCTGGCTTGGGGTGGGACGCTGCGAGCGGGTTAGCAGCTGATTTGAGATTTGCTCATCAGGTTGATGCAGTGATAGCTTGCTCTTGTTGTATTGTGTGTCCCTTTGTTTTATGTTTGTTTTTCTCTTTCTGCAGGTCTAGATGCAGACTCTTGTTCATCATTGTTTTTATTTTTCTTAGTGTGTGCCCCCCCCCCCCCCCCCCCCCCCGCCCCCCAATGCATGCATCCCTCTCACAGAGCTGCCTGCAGCATAAACTAGGCTTTATAGCGAAGTTTTAGTGGGGAAAAACGTGCAGCCAGCCTGCCTTGGTGATGCTGGAAAACTGCACATTTTTTGTTATTTAATACATCTGAAAGCTGTTTCTACCTTCAGGTTTCCTTCTTGCATTTTTGGAGCAGAACAAGAACATGTTTTTTAAAAAGCACCTCTAGATAAAAATCACGTTTCTTCACAAGCAAATAAAAAAGATAATAATGGGAGAAAATATTAACAGCTTTAACTGTTTTATTGTACTGAGATATTAATTATGAATTAATTATATTATACCAGATGAGGTATAGATAAGAATTATTATTAGATATTAACGTGATGAATATTTACAGGTAAATATAAATGTGAATGATTTGCTACTAGATTGGATTAGACACTAAACCATCATTTCACTTGGCAGGCTAGTGTTGTACCTTTGTTTCAAGAACATCGTGAACTGAAATCACTATTTCTGCTAGAAAAATCGCTTTTTGATCTTTTCCTAAAAGCGCCCAGCCCTGCTGGATGGTGGCTGTGTGAAGCTGGGCTGGATGGATGGGTTAGGGTTCGGACCAGCCATTTTGGACCAGCGGGCTCTGCTCGGCCGTGGTTCTTTAGCTGAACTCGTTTCTTTTTCTGCTTCATTTGTGGGACTGGACCCCAAATCTGTGGTTCTAAAAAAAACTTAAGCTTCGATAAATGAAACCTTTAAGGCACAAGGAACAGCTGAACCGCGTTACGTCACACTTGGTTAATCCAATGGGATGCATTTAACTGAAGGCTGGGATGCAGAAAACCATAAACCACAACTAATCTGACAGGTTTTGTATACGTATGTTTAAATGTTGGTCCACTTACCACCGCTCCGTCCTTCATCACGATCTTCTTGACCAGCACCACCCGGCCGGTGGCAACCGGAGGCTCCCCCGCCATCTCTTCACACCTGCCGCCAGTCAAGAAGCATCCCTGCCGCGTGGATATTCGCGGGTCCCCGGTTACTTCCAGCGTGTCTCTTTATTCAGCCTCGAAGAGACTGAACTGGTAATAACGGAAAACGAGACCGATAATTTCCGTCCTGCTCCCACAACAACCGACGTGCAGCAGTGCTCCGGCAAAGACCGAGTCCGCAGTACCGCCGGTGTTACGGCAGCAGCTTCCGGTTCTTATTTTCAAAACAAGAGCGTGAATTATACAAAGTGGAGGGGAGAATAAAAGAGAATAGAAGATACTTTATTGATCCCACCAGGGGGGACTTTTTACTGCTACAGCAGCACAGACACTTAAAGAAAAGGAAGAAGAAAAATAACAAGATTGCAGGTAAACACATAAGGAGCGTAAGCTAACCTTCAACCACTAAAAACAAATAATAAAAAGGAAACTTGTTTCCAGAACTATGCAGGACACTAGAAAGGACACAGACATACTATGTAAATCTGGTATTGAAAGGGTATTGAACACATACTCAGTATTGCGATGTTATTGTGTACCAGGATAATGCCAGTACCAGTTAAACTGAGGAGTTCTACACACTTACTGCAGGGGGGATGAGTGACCTACGGTAGTGTTCTGTTTTACATCTGAGATGTCTGTCTGCCTCTGAGGGAGCTGTCCATGGTCTCCACAGTGGAATGCAGTGGGTAGGAAGGGTTTTTAAGATGGTGGTCATCTTCACGAGCATCCTCCTTTCACACGTCTCAACTGAATCCAGTGGGCAGCCCAGAACCGAGCTAGCTTCGTGAAGTAGCTTGTCAAAAGCCTGCTTAGCTTCTGACCAAATCGCCAGACAACTTCAGGGTTAATTTCAAGATCCTGGTTCTGGTCTTTAGGGCCTTACATGGACAAGCACCGTCATACATTAGTGACCTTCTCAGTCCCCAGCAGGTCCCTGAGGTCCAGTGACCAAAGCCTACTGGTTGTGCAGCACCAGGTTAAAGGTCAAAGGTGACAGATAATTTGCTTCTGTGGCCCCCAGACTTTGGAACTCTCTCCCCCTGAGCCTGAGATCAGTGGACTCGGTGGTCTCCTTTAAACTCACCTGTTCAGGCTTTGGTGGGACCTTCATCACCACCCTCTCCTTGTTCTGCTCTTATTCTGCCATTTTCTTTTGTTTTTTTTAATCACAATTTAATTGTTTTCTCAATTGTTAATTTTTATCTTGAGGGGCGCTTTATAAAGATGCTTTTCTTTCTTTCTGTTCAGACTCCTCCTGTCTTGCTCAGAGCTGCCTGCAGTCCAACAGTCTACAGCAAAATGGATAACAGATCAAACAACATTAAGGGATTTTAATAGCAAATTTAAAAACACTTTGATATGATTTCGTCAAAATGATTTTGTAAATAATTTCTCTAAATTTTTATTTCATAACTTTTCTCATAGTAGCAGAGTAAATGAATGCAATACATTAAAACAATAGCCTACAGCAAGGAGCTTTAAACAAAATAGTGGGAAACAAAAATAATAGGATAATTTATTCAAAATGTTTGCTTTGATTGCATATTGTGATTCATATTGAAAATGTAGACTAAGTTGAACTCAGTTTGTCAGCTGTTTTATTTTGAAAGTCAGATAGTTTCATTTTCCGCTCATTTTCAGGCGATATCGTTCTGGTCTGGTTTGGTCCGTTAGGTAGATTAAAATGAACACGGGTCCGGTTTGATCGTGGTTCACCAGGGTTCACCGGCTCCAAACACGAGTGTTTAGAAATCGGGCAGGTTTTAAAATGACAAAATAAGAAATAAGAGAACACACGAGACTTGGATGACATAACTCTAATTAAAGCACTACACAGGAAGTGATGAACATCTGCTTTCACAATAAATCGGAATGAAGTCAAAAACGGCTTGATAAACGGCTATTATCAAACATTTATGAATGAGATGGTTCGTAAAAAATCTTTTATATAAAACAGCTAATGGCATGTAATTTTTATGATATTTTTCCACAAAATGTCTGACATGTTTTTATTATTTTGAAACTAAAGCTGCATCCTGATTGGTTGGACAGAATCATACAGACAAACCCATCACGTGTATGCGCCCGTGTTTCCTTTTGGTGCAGCCTTTATCAAACAACACACACACACACAAAAAAAAAAAAAACAAAAAAAAAACTGACAGCAATCTTTATGGCCACAAAAAGCTATAAATAACTCTAATAATTAACATTTATTATTAAATCTACTTGTATTAATTAATGTATGTATTCATTTATTTCGCAAATGGCTGTGCAAATCTCAATTAAACAAAATGATTAAAAGAGACAACATGACCATGATTGAAAAGGAAGAAGTAACATTTTATAATCCCTGCTCCATTCTTAAAGGAGACATAACATGAAAACCCCACTTTTTTATACATTAACACAGTGTGTTTCACATTTTAAGTGTCTAAGTGAGCATAAAAACTTATATTATTCACTAGAGTGGCTATTTAGATATTTAATAATTAAGTTTAGGGCATATTTTTCCACCCCGTTCAGTTTTTCAAAATACCTAATACATCAGAAATTTATTTCGTCACGATAACTACCAAATATGGTCATGGCCCTTGGCTAAATACAGAGCCAATCTGCCACTTTTTTCTTCTCGCTAAGATTTTTGTTGTCCTATTGGAAAAATGCAGAATGTCTGGTTATTTTAGCCACACACAGCTCAAAACTGTTCCTCGTTTTAAGGAAGGGTGGTGTGGCAGTATTTAAAACCCAGAAGCTGATGACACTACTGCTAAAAAAATAAAACAGAAGAAAAAAGTAGTACGCCAGCTGGAGGATCCAGACACACAAATCAACCTTTTGCACACCCATTGTTCTTCAACGCAGACAAAAACTGCCAAGGTCTCCCACAAAAGCCCTTTCCTCCCTTATCTCAGACTGCTGGATACCTCACTCTGAATAAAAAGTGAACTTTTACAACTTCTCAGTTAAATAATCATGTGATAAATAAACTAGATGTTTAAACCAAATTTTTAAATAATCTGTGCTTAAATCAATGAATTTGAAATGAATATTGTTCTTACAATGATCCATTTATATCACAAATCAGTATGTGTTGATTTAGCAAGTTAACCATTGTTTACACCCGTACACATTACAATAAGATACTCATTAAGGCTAATATTCACCTCACATAAGAGTTTTAAAGATTCTTTGTTCACAGAATTAAGAATCTTGTATCTTAATGAAGGCGTGGCTTTCTGAAGGATGTTAGTAAATACCCAGAAACTTGTCTAATTCAGATTTGCCAGAATACGCTAGAAATCATAACATTGTGGTTTAATAGAACCAGAGTAATTCAGTTTCTAGCAGAGTTCCGAACCAGCCAATCCAGAACAAGCATCCTTGAAACATCTCTTTTGACATACAATCAAAACCTGTTTGCACGCTGCAAGCTGACGCAGCCAGATGGTTCCATAAGAGCCACATCCACTTTGGATGCAGACAAGCAATCCAGCTACTGTTGTGACCTGGAGACATCTCAAGACTGGATGGGTCGCTTTGAAATTAATCTACTGGCTTCAGGTGCCGTGAGGTCCACCCGACTTCTGACAGTCCAGATGTGCTGGGGGTCTCCACCAGGGTTTGTAGACACAACAGATTGCATCTGATGATGTTTAATTAATAATCAACTCTCTAGTTTATAGCAGACAACAATTTCTTTTACACCCAGATTTCACAATTTCTTTCAGATAGAAAGATTCTGATAAACATCTAGCTTACATCATACCACCTACACATCACACTCCATCACCGCATATCCACTCCATCACATCTCATTATTCATGTCTTGTCATGTATTATCATTAGTTTAGAAAAGAATAAAATTCCTTTTTAACTACATACCTGACTGTCTGAGTTAATACGAAGTGTGTTTATGGTCCCTGAACAGGTAAAAGTAACTATAATCTTCTGATTAAACATTCAAAGATCAATAAGATTGATATTTCATATTTATATGGAATCATCACACCTTATTGGTCATAATTAATTTGCAGTCATCATGCTATAAAGTGTGACCGCTACAACGGCAACCTGGTTGTTGGGGAGGGGTTCGTCTCACAAACAGGAAAACACACAAGTGAAGCGGTGAATTGAAAGATTAGGATTCCTAATGTTTAATTCACCACATCACCAACTGATGTAGGAGAGGGAACATGTGAGTGAGTCACCACGGTAGAAAGACCAGCTTGCTGTGAGCGAGAGATGCGATGTGTGGCTGATGAGTGAAAAAAAAAAAAACATTCGGGACTGGAGCTCCGTCAACATCGGCTGGCGACGCGGCTGCATTTCTAAATAAAGCATGTCAAGTTGGCGGCGCGCGCAGCCGCAGCTCACGGTTCTGGGAGGAAAACCGGGCACGCCCGTCCCATCAACAGCAGGTGGAGCTTACCGCTCCGCCCATCTCACAACCAGAGCGGAAAAAGCACATGGGCTTGAATTATACAGATGGGATTCTGTGTGAAATAACGCCAGTTAAATTATTACTTAAGTGTTGTTTGTGTGCATGTTGTTCAGCACCTAATGCTATCATTAATATCATCTGGTGTTTTCATAAGCCCTACACACTGTGCGTGATGCACGTTTGGGGAGAACAGGCGCTGGTTTGACGTGGGAGAATGGAGGTGTGGCATGAGAGCGTGTGAAGAAGATCAAATGCGTGTGTCTCACGCTCAGTGCATGAGAGTTGGCAGCCCTGAACAATACAACAAGAGCAAGCTATCACTGCGTCAACCTGATGAGGAAATATAAAATCAACTTTGTTTTGCAGAAAAATCACACGATAATAAACCACAGTGCATTTAGTGTCAACCACAGCCTTAAGACCGGATCCTTTGGAGGTTTCTTGTTGTTAAAAGAGAGTATGACACAAGGCACCGATGGAACGACGAGTTTGGATGGGAAGAAAGAAGCTGAACTAGTAGTTATTAAGCTCATTCAAGCAAAAGCATTTTCGAAGGAGATAAAGAGTTTGCAAGCACAGAAAGTTGTTGCAAAGACTAACAGCAAACTTGGCAAGTTGAGACCTTTACTGGAGGAAGAAGGTATCCTCAGAGTCGGAGGATGTTTGAATCAAGCTGTACTCCATCCTCATGTAAAGCAGAGATACCTAAAGACACTTTCACTTATGTTGGAATGGATTGTTTTTGACCAA